GTCAAGGCCTGCACAGAGTAGGGATGATGCCCAGACTGTCTGAAATGCCCAACTTTCGTTCAGTGTAAGTCACTGAATCCCCATAGTAAGCTTGAATCCTCTCTACAAGCACCAGCTTGGTACCTGTGTCCAGTGGTAGGTTTCTAGGCTTTCTGACCTCATTCCTACCCTTGTCCTAGAGGCCTAAGCCTTCCTAACCTCAAGTATCTCCATTTAGCTGGGCTCAAACTTTATCTTCCATCTACCTGTCTTTCTGCAGCATCACATTGCCTCCAGGGAGGTTAGAGTTCTTAAAGGGAAGTCTCTGGAGGACTTGAAACTAGGGAATCCATCGATGTGACATGCCAAAGAAAGAGCACAGCCCTAGGCGTGGGGTGACCAGAGTTCTCGTCCTGCTCCTCCCAGTAAAGTGCTGTGTGACTTTGGGTGGGTCACATGACCCCCCCCTCCTCCCCGAGCCTCAGTGTCCTCTTCTGTAAAACAAGGAGGCTGGACTAGTTGAGTTCCAAGGTCCCTCCAGCTTGAAAACCCTAATTCTTTAAAACTCTTTGGAAAGTAGAGATCGTTCTTACCCCAGGTTCTCCATCTCTCCATCCTCCCTTGCCTGAAATAAGCCTTGATAGACTCCTGACCATTCCAGGCCTCCACTTTCACTGGGAAGCTGGTGGACGGGCTTGGTGGGATAGTAAACACAGAAAGGAAGCTCTCAGCTCTTTGAGTCTCAGATTTCGGATTTCATCATCAGAGCAGCATCTCTGGTGCCTCCTTCTCCCCTCCCTCCACCTCAAGCTCGGGCCAACAACTTTCCTTCGCAGGAAACATCTGCTAGGGGAGGCTGGGCTGGGCCTGGGGTTATTGGAGGACATTGGCCAGGACCATCCCCCAGATCCTGTAACTTTAAGTGTGTGTTTGGGGCTGTGCGTCCTACCCGCCCTCCCTCATTGCCCTACACAGGCAAGTCTAACAAAGAAACTGTTTGCCATTCAACCCCAGAGGAACAGGGACGGGTGGGGAGGACAGAGGAGAGGGGCTGAGGCTGTTCTTCTTGTTATGCCCAGTAGCAGCTGCCCAGGGGGAGAGAAGGGAGGCCCAGCTACTGTCCTGTTGCTGGTGCCTGGGTGAGGAGATTAGACTTTGCTGCCTTGCCCTCTGTGTACCTGGGAAGTGACAGGCAGGGACTAAGGATTTGGGAGTCCCTCATGGTGCTTTGGATGAGCTCTGAGTCACCCTGTCATAAAGGCTTGCAGTGAACAGTGAGTCACTGGAGGGGCTGGAGCTCTGAACTCCCTAGCATGGCTGTACCCACTTCTGGTTCTGTCTGTGGAAACTATACCTGAGTTAGCCATCTGGCTGGGGGCCGTCCAGTGCGGCCCCCATGAACTTGGTACATGTGTCCCATTATTTGGCTCCCCGGCCTGCTGCTTTGGAACTTTGGTTGCACTCTGAGAGTTACAATCACTACTCACCGGAAGGAAGCATTTCACCAGGGAATCCCCAGGAGTGGAGGTCACCCACTTTGTCAGCGTCACATGGGAAGAAGGGAGCTTGAGAGCAGGAGGCTGACCAGTGGGTTCATTCTGTGACCTACTCTGACCACGTCCTTTTGGCCGGATAGACACTGTGTTGAAAAGGAGCCTGAGTGTGAAGGGAGAGTACAGGATGGTCACTGACCCTTTGCCTTCCAGCCTGAGGTCATTTTTCTGCTGTCAGTCCAGAGAAGACTGATTCTTCACCCTGTGGACAGTGGGGAAAGGGAGCACCAAGGAGCTGGACACGTTAGGCTACCGGATGGGAGGGGAGCAATGGACTCTTTGACAGAATCTGGGGTCCTGTGGAGCCTAATGCTGGCTCAGGAAAGTGAGTCTTTGCCATGTTACCTGCAGAGGTTCAACAGCTTATCTGCAAACTGCGAACACTGGCATTGCCGTGAATCCGAAGAAATCCCAGCAGTGAGTTTGCAACCTGATTATTTTCTGTCTGCCTCTGTAAGGGTTTCAAAATCCTTAGCAATTGTCATTTTGTTCTGTTCCTGAGAGCTTACAGCACTAATAGAAAGGGTCCGGGCTCCCCTACTCTTTGGCCTTTTTAACATGTAGGGTGGAGGTGTAGCTAACTTTTGGAGGGAATAGCTCCAGGAATAAGAAGAGGGAAGATTAATAATGTACAAGTCATTCCCACTGGTGTATAATGCTTGAGGGTAGGGGAAAAAAAGCTGAAATAATCTCTACTGTGCCGCTGCTGCTGGAGCAGTCCATGCTGATAAACCATGTTGGCAAGCTAGTGAAATGAGTGCCCAGGTTCGAAATGCTGAATTTTAGTCTTTACCCCTTGGCTTTTGCTTCTGGAACTTAAAGATCCCAGGTGGTGAATCTGAATTCCCTATTCCCCTACTCCTGAATCCCCAGGATTCTTGGAAAGGGAAAAGAGGAAGAGAAGAAGATAACTCAGTTGGCCTGTGGTTTGGGAAATGTGGCTGGGCTTTCAGTCCCTCTACACCTGTGGAGGCATTACTCAGTGATACATTGGAAGTGGGAAGAACTGGGTGTGGGGGTAGGTGAAAAGAAATGAAGGTTTTGAGGCCTGCAGTAGTTTGGATAACAGTGTTCCCTGGGTCGGGGTGGAGGTAGGGGTGAGGATCACCTGAATTGGGTTTGAGCACTCTGCTAAATTGCTGGTCTCCAGGGTGAGGCTAGTTTATCTCTTCAGATACGGTCCCACAAAATTTCAGGGCCTGTAGGGCTTGGTGAACAGGGAGGCACCAGTGTGATTTTGGGGACTTCTCTGTTCCTCCACATAGACAAAGCCCGAGTGTCTGCTTTCCATCTCTGTCCTGGACAGAACACTGGACTTAAATAACAAGTGGGAATTTGATTAGACTGAAGCACAACCTTCTTCACTGCAGTGGTGATTAAACAAAGGCATGTGTGGAATTATTCCTAGAGAGTTGTCCCACAGAATCTCTTGAAGTCTTTTCTAGCACTTGAATTTAGTGGAATTATGGTGTCCCATTTAGGAACATCAGCGTTTTAAGGGCAACTCATTTTGTAAACATTTAACAAAAGACAAACCATTCAAATTAGTTGAAATCTCTGAAGATATTTTTTCTATAGAAAGCCTTCACAGATAACCATTGGGCCAGTGGACCCAGTAGTTGCAACACTAGGTTAACAAGTTAGATCATAGGTTTGAGCCTTATCTTGGTCATTTAGGCTTTATTAGAGAAATAACAATTCCATAGTCTCAGTGCAGACAGGTGTGGTTGAACACAAAGGAAACTGGGTGGGAAAGTGTTCAGGGGCCCCAAATAGTCCAGTTCCACCCCTGGAAATGTAACTGAAAACCTATACCCTCAGGGCAGTAGTATGAACTTTATTTCCTAAAAACAGCAAACTAGACTTACCTGCATTAGATTGTGAGCTCTTTGAGGGCAGGGAGTGTCTTTTGCCTTTTTTTTTTTTGTATCCCCAGCATTCAGCACAGTGCCTGGCACATAATATGTAGGTGCTGAATAAATGCTTTTTGACTGACTTTTTTATCCTTTCCTCTTGCAGGGATATTATCCTTTGTTAAATTGCACAGTTGCTTGTGTGTGCTCAGGGTTCTTGCTTATTATAGATTGGGATGTATGTCCCTAGGAGGCAGGAACTGTTTTATTTTTATCTTTATATTTAGTGGTTGGCACATACATAGTGTTTAATCAGTGCTGTTGATTTCCTGATTGATTAGACTATTTCAGTGTTACGCCTAGGGGGACCGATCACTTATGTCAGGTATATTATAATGGCGATTCCTTTCGTTTATGGGTTGAAATACTTAGCTGGTGATGCCCTTTCCAATTCTCAACATATGAATCTATGAGATACTTTATTTTATAGATGTTGGAGTTAGGAACCGAGGACTGGATCTGTAATTCTGTTTATAGAGTTTTCTTCCAGATGAGAAAACTTCCTTGACCTGTGTAGATTTGTGCCTCCTCTGCTACATTGGGAAATTAAATGACTTGCCCAGAGTCGCACCAGTGTCCTTCAGAAGTAGGACTTGCATTCAGGTCTTCCTGGCTCCAAAGCCTGTTCTCTATTCACTTTGTCATTGGTGATGAATTGCTTTTTAAAAGAAGTTTGGGTTTTAGTATTAGCCAAACAAGCTGCCTAATTCAAGACACTGGAAGACCTGAAGGGGGAGAATGGTTGAAAACAGGGGAGGGAGACCTGTGACCTCGAGGACCCACGTGACCCTCTAGGTCCTCAAGGGCAGCCCTTTAACTGAATCTAAAACTTCACAGAACAGATCCCCTTAAAAAAGGATTTGTTCTGTAAAACTTGGACTTAGTCAAAAGGCCACACCTGAGGACCTAGAAGGCCACATGTGGCCTCTAGGTCGCAGCTTTCCAAACCCTGGAACTTTAAAGAGGTTGCTCACATCTCAGAAACAAAGCCACTTTTCCAGTTCCAAGCTTTTTTTTTTTTAACCTTTTTTTTTTCCCAAAAGACATAACTGTGCGTGGAAAAGGCTATCACTAGTAGGGCATCAGAGCATTTGTCCCTTTCCTCCACCTTCCTTTTGAAGTTCCCTTCGCATTCGTGTCCCCTCTTCTTTGAGGTGGGGGTGAGACTAACGTTGGAAGATAACTTAGGGCTTCCTGTTGCTTCTGGAGGAGTGCTTCACCTCTCTCCTTTCTGTTCGTATTGCACAGGGCAGGGCTGTGCATAATGTGGGTACACTTGTCCTTGTTAGCTTTCTCTCAGTATGGCCCTGGGAGGCAAAGTCTACTGTACTCTCTCTTTCTCTCCATCCCACCGCACCTCCTACTCCCTACTAAACCTCCTGCATAACTTGGCCTTGCTGTATATGTTGGATAAAAACATTTCATCTTCTCCTTCCTAAAATGGGGGAAACTGCTCTCTGCTAATATACTGCCCCTCTCTCCTGTACTCTATCCCTCTGGCCTCCGCAAGTGTTTTCCCCTCTCATCCCCCTAACCTTAACTGTTTGTCATGCAGGTGTTAAGCCCAACTTACAAGCAGCGGAATGAAGACTTCAGAAAGCTTTTCAAGCAGCTCCCTGACACAGAGCGTCTTATCGTTGGTAAGCCGGGAGTGACCCCCAAACAGGGGCCATTACTCAAGCTGTTTTACCAGAAAAAGAATATGGCCGTATGTTGTTCTGGATACCAGACTACCTGTACCCTCTTAGAGCAAAAGGACATTAGGCTGACACTTAGAGGTGGCCCATGGGAGTTTGGGGGAGATGCTTCCTTGTTTTCAGGTGGTGAGATTACCCAGTACCTAGTACAATACCTTATAAACGTTAACTATATACATTATTATTATTAATTAAGCTGTAAACACTTTTATTCACATCATTTCTACCTCATCTAGGTGGAGAGTTAAGTAGCAGGGAATTTGTAGGGAGAAGACCAGAGGGAAGAGGCAAGGCAGTTAGCTAAACTTCATTGGGCTCTTTGCTTCTGGCTTGCATGACTTAATGGCTTACAGATGCCCTCTAGAATGGCTTCTACTTCTGTGAATGTTCCCATGGACTGAGGCAAATATAAATGTCCATAGTTCTCCTTGCCTAATCAGAGGGCTGTTCAGAACTTACAAACCCAGGAAGTTACTACTCCTCCAAATCTTTGGGGAGACCTCTCTGATCCCCTTATATGAGTTTCTTCAAGCTGTTACAGCAGTGACAGGGAATCACCTCCTGTACTGGGCCACCCTTCCTTAACACTCTGGCTTCCAATGCCACTAGACTTCCTTCTGCTTCTTTAGCCTCTGGGTCAATAGCACCTTGAGCTGGAAACCCTCCTTTCTCTCTGAGGCATCTTCTCTCCTATCTGTCTTGTCTGATACATGGTCATCAGATAGGTCTTCATCTGTTTCCCTGAGCCTCATGGATGGCTTTCCAAAACCTTCAGAGCACGAGATGCTGTATCCTTCTTAGGCCATTAGTTTGGGTAGCTCTCATTCCTGGTCAGTGGTGAGAGATCTCAGACCTGGGTCATTATTTTCTCAGAGTTGATCAGTGTCCCTCGTGGATGGGGAGGTGCATCTGAACTGCAGTGACTTGGCAGCTGTTTGGGGGGATGCTTCCTGCCTCTGACTTCCCTTCTCTCTCCTGCCCTAGATTACTCATGTGCGCTCCAAAGAGACATTCTCCTCCAGGGCCGACTCTACCTCTCTGAAAATTGGATCTGTTTCTACAGCAACATCTTCCGCTGGGAAACTCTGGTAAATGCCTGAGGCTCCATTTCCCTTTGGCTGTGGCAGAGCGGGACCTCTGTACCGTAATTCCTGTACTAACTTCATGCTCTATCCTGCTCCTTAATATTAACTGTATAAATAAGCATGTATTGAAGAACTGCAGGCTCCAAATAGAGTTTCCTTTATTTTATCCACTTCCACATTTGTTGAATATGGGAGGAAACATTGTACATATGAGGTAAGGAGGGGAAGGACTTGGAGGAACATAGATAGGACCTATGAAAATATGGAAGACTATAGAGAACGCAGAAAGTACATGGAAGCAGGAGGTTTGGCTTCTGGTCCCTCACGTGCCAGTAATTAGCTGTGTTAATTATCATGTGCCAAATTCTGTTTCCTTATCTTTAAATTGAGAGGGTTGAACTAGATGAGTTCCAGGATCCCTTTCAAATCTAGATGAGTTTGGTTGATTTTAACTCATTTAGTCTTTTGTAGTGCTATTGGACAACTCTCTGACAGACTGTATTAATGTCCTTTTTTCCTTCTTGCTCCTTCTCCTGTGTTGTGGGTACCCCAGCTAACAGTGCGATTGAAAGATATCTGCTCCATGACTAAAGAGAAAACAGCCCGACTCATTCCCAATGCAATCCAGGTTTGCACAGACACTGAAAAGGTAAAGTTATGCCATTCCAGAGAGCCCTCTTTACCCACCTGCTTCAAATGCTCCCTCTGTTACCTCCCTCCCCACTCTTGCACCAATGTTCATGTTTCTAATGTTACTATAATGGGACTAGAGGGAGAAACACTCTGACAGCCTGGAGGCAGAAGCAAGAGGCAGAGAAGCTGATAGGTTGGCTTAGGGGGGTGGGGTGCAGGCAAGGAGAGGCAGAGAGCTCTTAGGGAGAGTCAATTGAAATGCCCAGGGATGGGTCTTACCCAGATATGGCCAAGCCAGACTGGATGATTTATGTGCCGATTCAGTCATCTCAGGTCTTTGGAAAGGTTACTATGAGCGCTGACCTTTAACTAGGCCTTGAAGATTAATGGGGTTAAGAGTGGGGCCAGGCTTCTGCTAAGGAGGTAGAGAGGCCCAAAGATTCCTAGGGGCCTGGTTCACAGCTCTTCGTTGTCTAGTGGATAACAGCGGCTCTCGGTTTTCTCCCTCTAGTTTGCCATTTTACTCCACCCTTTTGTGTCTCTTTGTGGAGACTTTGAGAGTAGAAGGAAATCAAATTCTAGGTAGTTGTTCTTCATGGATAACTGTGCTGAAAGTTTGGGAGGAAAGGGAGGAGAGATTGGTCATTCTTAGTTGTCCAGATTTTAACTGTGGTTTCTTGCTCACATCACCTTAACACTCTACCCCAAAGAGTGTCTGTGTGTGTGTGTGTGTGTGTGTGTGTGTTGTGTGTGTCTGTGTGTGTGTGTGTGTGTCTGTGTGTGTGTGTGTGTGTGTGAGATATTATGACCCAGTGACTTTGGATGATGTAATCCAACAAACATTGATTTATCATCGTGTATTGTGTGCAAGGCTGCAAGGCACTGTACTAGTTGCTGGAGATGTAAAGACAGTAGCAAAGAGTTTATATGGTAGTGGGGGGGGAGGGCGTGGTGCATTGTGCAGTGCAGCTTGTGCGGGATGACTTCAATTAGGAGTATATTGTCTCTTGCTTATGCTTGTATCCTCAGCACTTTAGCCTGGCAGACAGTGGGCACTTGATAAATGGTTTATCATTCATTCAAATTGGGAGTTAGTGGTGCTTAGCCTCTGACAAATGGAAATAGAGGTAGAAAGGCCAAATGGCTGTTCTCCTATTACCTAATTTTTCTGAATAGGCCTGTCTTTTCCTTTTTTCTCTCTCTTGCCAGCACTTTTTTACATCCTTCGGGGCCCGAGACAGGACATATATGATGATGTTCCGGCTCTGGCAGAATGCCCTCCTGGAGAAGGTAAGCATGGCCTCTCTTCTCAGTCTAGATTTGCTGTAAAGGACTCAGTTTCTTCATCTGTACAATAAGAATATATTTGCCCTCAGAGAGCTGGCCTTGGAGTCAAGAAAATCTGGGTTCAAGACTCACCTCTGACCCATACTGACTGTGTGACCCTGGACAAATCACTCTTAGGGCTCTAGGAAACTCCCAGAGATTATAATTTGCTAAGAAGGCGGTGATCTACATCGGTAAAGGGAGTTCTTCACCAAGAGTTCCCTAAGGTGATGAAATCACAGGTCTAGTAACAACCAAAACCAAAAACCAAAACTTTCCCTGCCTAACTAAAAGGACTGTCCTGAGAATCCCATGCACATGTTTAAGTGCTTTGTAAATGGTGCTGTTCAGTCATTTTTCAGTTGTGCCTGACTCTTTGTGACCCCATTTGAGGTTTTCTTGGCATAGAAATGGGAGTGGTTTGCCATTTGCTTCTCTAGCTCATTTTACAAATGAGGAAACTGAGACAAGCAGTGTTAAGCAACTTGAGTCACACAGCTACTGAGTGTTATGTGTCTGAGGCAGGATTTGAACTCAGGTCCTCCTGACTCTAGGGCTGGTACTCTATACACTGCTGTACCTAGCTGCCCCATAAGAGCTGCTATAATTTTTTTTTTTTTGGCAAGGCAATCAGGGCTAAGTGACTTGCCCAGGGTCACACAGCTAGTAAGTATCAAGTGTCTGAGGCCAGATTTGAGTCCTCCTGACTCCAGGGCCAATGCTCTATCTGCTGTGCCATCTAACTGCCCCTGAGATTCTGTAGTAGAAAGAATACTAGACCCAGAGTCAAGAAGGCCCTGGGTTTGAGTTTGACTTGTAATACTTTCTAATCATGTGAAGATGGGCAAGTCATTTAACCTCCTTGTCCTGGAGATCGTAAGTCCTTGGAGAAACAAATCAAAGCATCAGTGGGAAGGGATCCAGAGACCACTACGCTCTGATCTCATCCCCTCCGAGGCCCCAGGGAGCAGAGCAGGGAGGTCCTAAAGATGGGAAGTCTAAGGAAACAGGTTCCAGCTAATTTTGAGAGCAATCCAGCAATTTGTCAGCTTTGGTTTTTGTTTTCTTCCACAGTAGTGAGCTCAAGCAGAGGCTGCCTAGAATCATCTCTAGTAATCCAGTTTAACTGAAGCATAGAATACCCAGAGGGTGATAAGAGTATGAAAGTAGGTCAGATCCTGATATAGAAGGCCTTGAATTCCAATCTAAGGGGCTCAGATTGATTTATTCAGTAGGTATAGGATCTTGGTCAGTCAGTAAGCATTATTTAAACTCTTGCTGTGTGCCAGGAGAAGGTAGGTGGTATAGTGGATAGAGCATCAGGCCTGGAGTTAGGAAGATCTGAGTTCAAATCTGGCTTCAAACCCTTAGTAGCAGTGTTACCCTGGGCAAGTCACTTAACCCTGTTTGCCTCAGTTTCCTCATCACACTCTAAGCATATGATTTCCTTTAGAATACTAGACCCTGGGTCAAGAGAGACCTGGTTTAAATTCCACTTTTGATACTTAACTAGTGACATGACCTTGGCCAAGTCACACAAGTTCTGTGAGGCTTATCTGTCTGAGGCTGGACAGGGAATAGTACATACCTCAAAGATTTTGAGAATCAAATGAGGTAATACGTTGGAAAGGCTTTTTCAAACCTTAAAAGCCTCATTTAAATATCAGTTCTTATTCACCCAGGATCAAACTCTGGCTGCTTTTGTCTTGTTCTGACTATATCTTTCCCGTGTTGTATTAAGAAGCCTCAAAACTGGGAATAAAAAAATTGGTTATTAGACAGTTACTGGAAGAATTTAAATGAATCTTGAAAGCACCATCTCCCAAAATCTGAGGGAGGAAGAAGTCAAATCAAGTCAAGTCAAAAGGCATTTATTAATGGCTTATTAAAGGCATTTATTAATAGATGTACCAGGCACTGGGCTAAGCACTGGGAATACAAAAACAAGGAGAAAGACATGCTGCCTGCCCTCAAGGTGCTTATATTCTAATGAGGGGGAGGGGAAAAGAGCACAAAAAAGGAAGCTGAAAAGGAATGGGGTGGAGGTGGAGGTGGAGGTGGAGAAAGGTATTATAGAGGAAGTCTAGAGAGACATGAGTGGAGCACTTTCCTTAAAATGGTAGTTCTGGGAAGAACCAGCCAATGATAGAAAGGGGTGGATTGTCTTCTAGAAGATCAGGAATGGAGTGAGCTTTCAGGATGAGGAGGTTGCTTTGTAGTGGTCGAGAAAGTCCAAAGAGTGATGAGCAGACTCTGGAGAGGAATGAGGACATGGCTGGCTTGGGTGCTTTCCTTAAAATAGAAGTCTTAGATAGACCATTTATGTCATCATATGCCAGTCATTGCCTTAGTTGAGTACCCACTGGCTACAGGGATCTGTCCTAGAACTCAGGACAGATCTATACTGGATTCTAGCATGGAGAAAGGGGGTGGGGGAGTTATAGATAAAGAAGAGCTCACAGTTCTTGCCCCTAGAGGAAGTCTCAAGTCTTATGAGAAAGACAGAAAACTACCTGTCCGTGGAAAAGGCCAAAGGAAATCTACAAATGAAACAAATGAGTACATTATGAATTCAGCAAATATCTGTTGAACACCTACTATGTTTGAGGCATGGGGTTTAAGTGTGGAGAGACATCCAAAGATAATGAGAGACATTGCCTTCAGAGAGCTGTCCATTTAGCAAGGCAGTACGACCTCCACAAGTAACTTTAATAATAATGGCTACCATCTATAATGTGTTTTAAGGTTTTCAAAGCACTTTACGTATATTCTCTCATTTAATTCAAAATAGAATATGATAAATGCATAAGAAAGTTCCCACTACAACCAAGGTGAAGGCAAGATGGATTCCAATTGAGGGAATGAGAGGTGGCTTCATTAAGGAGATGCCATCTGAACTAGGTCATGAGAGTGGATAGCATTTCATCAGGCATAGAGGACCAGTGAGAAGGTATTATATGAATACTGAATGGCATAAGCAAAGATGTGAAATTGAGAAAGAAAGTAGGCCAGTTTAACATCCCAGAGGGATGTAGAATATGATGTAACTAGGAAAGCAGGTTGGCTCCTGATTATAGAAGCCCTTAAATTCCAGTCTGAGGGGCTCAGATTGATTTATTCAGTAGGTATAGGATCTTAGTCAGTAAGCATTTATTAAGCTCTTACTGTGTGCCAGGGGAAGCTAGGTAGTACAGTGGGTAGAGGGCTGGAGTTAGAAAGACCTGAGTTCAAATCTGGTTTCAGCACCACAGTAGCTGTGTGACCCTGGACAAGTCACTTAACCCTGTTTGCCTCAGTTTCCTCATCTGTAAAATGAGCTGGAGAAGGAAATGGCAAACCACTCTAGTATCTTTGCCAAGAAACCCCTAAATGGGGTCATGAAGGGTTGAACAGGACTGAACAAAAACAACATGTACCAGAACTGAGCTAAATTGGAAAGGGGGGGGAAAGGATACAAATAATAATAAAAACAAAGACAAACTTGCCCTCAAGGAAACTGAAAAAAGGGGAGGAAGTACTTAGCAAGGGGGTGTGGGGGTGTGGGAGAGGTGAGACAGTTCTGGGAGAATTACAAGAGCAGCATAGCTGCTTTTGAAGAAAAGGAGAAAAACTGTGGAACTTTTTTTAAAAATAGAAGTCCTGGAGTTCATGCCCTCTAGCCAGAGACTCCAATCAGAGGGGCAGAGGGTACTGATGATATATGAGTACAAGGCAGATTCAGTCTTGAAGCATCACAAGATTTCCCAGTGCTGAGTTTCCTGGGGAGAGAAGGCATGATGGAGAGGTCCAGAGAAGTCCCAAAGCAAGACCTTCTGGAAGTTAATAAATGCATTTACAAAAGAACCCCAGATAGAACTCTGATTCATATATTTGTTAAATCAGAACCATAAGTAGGGATGAGGGGCGGGACTTGGCTTTGGCCCAAGGCTCCGAAATTTAGAGGGCATTGAGATCACTTGTTCTTCAAAAGATAAAAGAATTTAGCTTAGTATATAGTTAGCTAGACTCATTAGTTAAAATAGGAAGCTACCAGATGGCTAATTTCTCTTTTCTTCCCTGCTCCCTGTGCCTTTACCCGACCATACCCTGCTCCCTCTTTCAGTGTTGACCTTCCTTGCATTCTTGAATTCTTCCTCCTCCTTCATGGGGCTTTGTTTATATGCTAAATTATTTTCTTCCTATCTTCTCTATATAGTCTAAACTTAGACTTTAAGATGTATCAACTATTGAATTTTATTAGAGTCAAGTAGGCTAATTAAGAAAGAAGAGGGGTAGAGATGAGTTAAAGACTGAAGGTGATTCGGTTTGGGGTGCTAGGAACCTTGAAATGTGAGGGTACAGGGCAGTCTGCCTGGAAAGAATTGGAGCACAAGCCTTCTTTCAGTTAAGGAGGTGAGGTTTATTTTGATACCAACAGGAGTGGGCAGATTCCTAGTGAGTCTGAACCTTAATGGGGGTGAGATTGGTACTTTTATAAAAAAAAAAAGACAGTGAGAAGATCTGGATGGGGTTAAGGAGTAGTAAATAGCCTGGGGTAGGCCAGGTACAGACAATAGAAAGAGTTAAGTTGTCTGGGCTGGGTTGGAGATTGGCAGATAGATTTTACACATGTGCTGCTGAGGAGGGGTTTCAAATTGCTTTTGGTTTTGTTGATACCTTTATTAATTGGGTAGAAGGTTTTCCAAATGATGGGGTGATGGGACCTAGACCCCTAAAAAGAAAAAAAAACATGTCTTTGAAAGCAATCCAGTCCCTGAATTTTCCCATACATTTCAGATCACTGGTGTGGTGCCTCCCTTCTCCCCCCCCCAACAGATATCTAGCCCATCCCAGCCCACCTACATACTCAATAATCCTTTTAACATTCCTTTCACTGTGGCTCTCCTGATTTACTCCCAGACCACTTAACTCTTTTCATTGTCTTCAGCTAGTCCACCCCAGGCTCTTTACCACTCCTTAATGTCATCCAGATCTTCTCACTGTCTTTTTGTTGTTGTTGTTTTTAAGTATCAATCTCACCTCCATTAAGGCAAAGACTCACTCTGAATCTCTGCCCTGTCCTATTGGAATTACAGTAAACCTCACTACTTTGACTGAAAGAAGGCTTGAGTGGTTGAATTCTTATTAGGCAGACTCCCTTGTACCCTCACATTTCAGGGTTCCCAGCACCCCAGACTACTTCAAAGGGACAAACAAGTGGAAAGAAATGAGCCATCCCGGATAGGTGTATGGTATATGTGAAAGAAAGCTAAGGGTAAGCTCCCACTTTGTGTGGGGTCTCCTTAAGAGCATTTCAGACATGGGTAAGGCATTGCCCTCTGCCTAGTTCCCCTGGTCTCAGAGGACCCTCTCTATAATTCCAAGCGGTACACAAAGGTAGGTGAAATTGGTGTTTCTGTCATTGCAAACCACCAGCTTCTCTCTGTTTGTGAAATCATCATGCTCAAAGAATAGAGGGAGGGCTAAGTGTGAGGCTAGTGTCTCTACACATTCTTAAAATTAAAACAAAAAAACCTTTGGTTTGATCCTTTCTAGTACTCTCTTCTTCCTTTGCCTTCTGCCTCCCCCCCCCCCCCACCTTCTCCTACTCTCCCAAGCCTCAGGCTCAGAGAATGTAAACATTTGGTCAAATGAAATAACAAATGTAAAGTGCTCTATAAATGCTTTTAGTCAGCCCACTCAAGAGACTCATACCCACCCACCCTTGTCCCAACCCACTTTTCCTTCCTTTACCAGAGATGTTAAACCCCATGAGAATCAAGCTGAAGCAGCAGTGAGCAAGGAGCTGAAGACCACTGTATTCCTATTAAATCCACTTTGTGGCAGCCCCCAGAGAACACAACAGACCAATGGGAGTTCTAGGGAAGAAGGTTCTACCTCATTATAATGAAGGAATATCTTCATAGTTAGATCTGTCCAGCAATAAAATGGTTTTGTTCCTTAGATAGTGAACTCACCGCTGGAGGTATTCCATGCAGGCAGAGCCTGGCATGACCACTTGTCCAGGATGTTACAAAGGGGATTCCTTTTTTTTTTTTTTTGGCTAGGCAATGGGGTTAAGTGACTTGCCCAGCTAGTAAGTGTTATGTGTCTGAGACCGGATTTGAACTCAGGTCCTCCTGGATCCAGAGTTGGTGCTCTATCCACTGCGACACCTAGCTGCCCCAAGGGAATTCCTTCTTGAGTGGGAGATTTAACCAGATGTGTTCTCAGGTTCCTTTTCAACTCTAACCTTCAATTTTCTTACCCACTAACTTCTGATTTCATGGAATCAGAGTTGAAAAAAAAACCTACTTAATGCAGACAATATTTGAGTAGACATCTCCTATAATATTATTGACAAGAATTCATACACCTTCCATAAACATCACAGTCTCAGATCTGTAACAGAATTCTCCAGATGTACTTTGACCAGGCCAGAGTACATTGAGACTGTCTCCTCCTTTATTCTTAACTCTGTTCCTCTCCTTATACTAAGATTGCCTGATTCCCTTTATTTGTTATGTCAGACTGTTGACTTGGATTGAGCTTTTGGTTCAGTAAAACCCTCAGGGCTTTTTCACGTGAACTGTTGTCTCTACTGTCCTGTATGCTTTTGACTTTGTTAATCCATGTGGATTTTAACCTTTATCTTTCTAGATCAGGTGCATAATTCTAGCCTGTTGTCAAGCTGTTGTTGGATCCTGATTGTCTTATCCCAACATATTAACTGCTCTTCCTAGCTTCTTGGCATCTTCACCTTTGATAAGCAAGCTATTTGTACCTTTTTCTAAATCAAATTTGATGAACAAATTTCTTTGAAGTCTCAGGAATTACTTCTGTAAATGTCCATTATTGGTTTACCATTAGTAAGTAAAAGCGTAAGGTGTGGCCAGCATCTCCAGCATAGTTAAATTAGCCCCTTTCTCCATCCTCATTGTAGGGAATGAAATGTCATTTGTGACTGGAAGTTAAAAAAACAAAAACAAAACTCATGTACAGAAAGCAGAGACACTCCCAGAGAGGAGTTATCTGTCAAATAATCTTTTTCTTGGCTAACAAGGTCATGACTCCTCTTGGGCATGGTGGTAGGTAGTCAGACTCTTTACTCTCTAAAAGAGAACAATTCTGTGCTTGGTGAATGAAAACCTGAGGAAAGGTAAAAGACTTCACTTTTCCCCCATCCAGCCCCTGTGTCCCAAGGAGCTTTGGCACTTTGTCCATCAGTGTTATGGAAACGAACTAGGCCTGACAAGTGACGATGAGGACTACGTGCCCCCAGATGATGACTTCAACACGATGGGGTGAGTGAGGGCCCAGTAGTCAACTAGATGGCAGGATTGGGTTCTTTCCTCTATGTCTTTTCTCTCCTTGCTGTTATGATGCTGGTTTGGTGCCCAAAGGCATGTAAAATGAGGTTGGATTAGATTATCAGGCCCAGTAGAGGGGATTTATGCTCTGGTGCTGATGGAGCTAGATGGCCTGCAAGGTCCCTTCCAATGTGACTCTTCAATATTTTCTAGCAGTAATATAAATGAATAAATGCTAAGGGTTGAGGATACAAATACAAATAGAAAGGCAGTCCCTTTCCTTAAAGAGCTTGCATTGTAATGAGAGAGATAATATACAAAGTATGTGTTATTGGGAGGATAAGTATAGCTGTAGCAGATTAAATTGGCACATAGCACATTCTATCCAGGGACAGTGACAGAGTAAATTTGATCATGGTTCATGGTTCTAGACCTTGGAAGGTAGAGGAGAGGAAGGAGAAGAAAAGCAAAGGGGAAATTGAGATCCAGTAATTTCTCAGGGGAGGAGATGAAAGGGTACCTGCATAAGACAGAGGTGCTGGTGATGTGAGGGAGATCACTGGAGAATCAACAATGAGGTGAAGCATGGCTAAGACTTTTCCTTTAATAGTGGTCTGGAAGTGGTATTCACCAATCAGGAGAGCACGACACTAAGACAGACATTTCTCCAGTGGTAAACCATGGAGGACAATCAAGAATAACATCTTGTGAATCTGTGGTTCTCCATGGTCATCATGATACTTGGGGAGGAGATCCTGCCATTCATGGGTAATGCTAAGAAGCCAAGCAAGGTGACGAATTACTATGTCATTGATTATATACCAGTCAGTCCCCAACAAGAACAGAGTACTCATTATTGGGGGGACCATTCTGGGTGGAGATTTGATGAAGGACTTGTACTATCCATATTCTTAGGGACCTACAGATCCACTGGGTGAAATAGGACATAGACATTAAAATGCTTAGGAATATACCTCCACTAAAATCCTACTTCTTCATGGTATGGAAGTGATACTGAATTCTTGAAGGCTGATGTAACCCAAACACAGGCTTCAGTAGACTTTACTGAGGTGTAAGGAATTTTAAAAGGGACCATAAACAACTCTGGATCTGTCTCTAAGAACCAGCCTTGTTAAGTCTGGAGAGACATATTACTAGAAAGTTAGCCTGGCTGATGAATATTTTCAACCACACTTTAAAGGTTATCTACTAACATGTGGAGGTATTGTGATCTACAGTGGTAGAAAGAATATCCAAGTGGATGCAATCGCAGATCCTTGAAGAAGGAAAACCCCAGAAAGTACAAACTGATAAATACAAAGGAGGAAGAGTAGTATAATGGAAAGACTTAGGTTCAGAAAACCTAATCTCAGTTCTGCTGTGTCATGTTAGGCAAATCATTTTAACCTCTTTAGTTTTATGCATCTATAAATGGGGATAAAAATTCTTCCATCACCCACTTTAATGGTTTAGTGTGAATGGTACACTTTATAAAAGGAAGAGTTATTATTGGGGATGTTGATGCTGGGGGTGGGGGAAGTGTAAGTGCAAAAATTATCAGAGAATTTGATGATGAAGCTGATGAAAAAGAGTACTATCTGGTGGATATACATTTTCAGCCAGAAATTTTTAATTTGTGGGGATTCGTAGAGAGGACAAAGGAGGATATTCTAGGTTAGGGACATAAGAAAATATATGGTAGTCCAGGAAAGGTATCCCAGGAAAAAATAGTATGTATGAGATGGACCCAGAGGTGGAAATGAACATTCAAAGAAAAGTTTATTATCAAGTTCCCCTTGTTCTAAGGTAGGTGGTGGAGTCATGGCTGAGGAACATTTGTGAATGGTCTCAGTCAGCCCTCCTGTTTCTGGCCTTTTGGGTAAGTGGAAGAAGGAGCTGAAGCGGGCTTAGTGGGCACTGATTGCCCTCTTCTTTCTCTCTGCTCCCATTCAGCTATTGTGAGGAGCTCCCAGTAGAAGAGAATGAGGTGAATGACAGCTCCTCCAAAAGCAGCATAGAGACCAAGCCAGATGCCAGCCCACAGCTGCCGAAGAAATCTATCACCAACAGCACATTGACCTCCACTGGAAGCAGTGAAGCCCCTGTCTCGGTATGGATTGCAACCCTCACTCACTCCTGCCCTTAATTCACTGGCCTTTTTTCACCAGCCTTCTGAGTCAGCCTGGTTAGATCTGGGAAGTGAGTTGGAGTAAGAGCAGTGATATGCTGGTAAATGTTTAACAACTGGCTTTCCAAAATTAAAAAAAAAGTACCACATAACACATTTTAAAGTTTAATCTGTATTGACATTTTCACCGTCTCTTTCTTAAGTCCAGACAATCAACAAAACAATAAGTCAAGCCCTGATTTATAGCCTTTGTTGATTTCTGATGTGTAAATGCTCATGCTGTAAATTTAACAATGTGCTTTTGTGAGCCAGGACACCCCTGGATGAAAGTATTTGTGATATACATCAGTTCATTCAGGGAAAGATTTCTTGACTGATAAGATCTCTTCCAGAGGTGGGTTGATCATTAAGTAAGTATTTATTGATTCACCTCCTGGTGTTTGGCAGTGCCAGATACTAGGCACCTGCAAGTCAGGGTAGGGCATAGACACCCCACAATCCTTAGTGGGGTGGGCTTATAGTCAAATAGAAGAGTCCATATGAGGCTTATGAAGTGAGCCCAGAGCTGGAGGAAGTATGGTGGAATGGAGATCCAGACATTTCTCAGACAGTTCCATTTGTATCCCCATTCTGAGCAAATGAAAACCGTTCCCAAATGCTGTCCACAACCACTCTCTTTCTGCTATTATGCCTTACCTGTCCCTTGGGCCCAACTCATATCCCTTCCAAATTAAAGAGTGTTCATTTCCAGCTCTTTTGCCCAGGGTCCCTGCCCTAGATGCTTGGGATGACACTGTGCCTTAGCCTTTTCGCCTTTGAGTAGGGTTGTTATTGAACACCGAGTTCTGCCCCCCTTCTCCTGCTCAATCAATAGCTCTGGTGCCTGCCTCCTCCTAGGACAAGAAGGGGAAGGGAACATTTCTAGACCTTTACGGTCTAACTGGGGAGAGAAAACCCTGAGAAGAATCAAGGAAATGTATAGATTTTAGAATTTTGGGGCTCCGTCAAGGAAACATAACAAGAGAAAGTGCTCTCAAAGATCATTCATGACACCTGGATTTGTGCCTCCTGTGGAACATGTCACATCTTCTCTAAGTCTCATCTGTACCCTATTCTCTTGCAAGATTGTTAGAACAAATATAACAATATTCCCAGAAGAAACTGGGAATTTCTTGAAATAAAGATGATATTTAGTGGCAAAGTGGTATTATATCCAGTTATATGTGTATTATATGTGTATGTAATAGAGCCACAGGAGAGAGCTTCCTTTCTGAATTAGTACTGAGACTAAGCGTCCTTAGACTCCCTAGTGGGAGACATGGAACTAGCTAAGGAATGCCATGTTTTAGATCAGGCTTAAAGGGAAATAACCAACTTTCAAGACTTTCAGAACGTCCTCTGCATCATTTGAACCATGATACTATATGCACAGAGAAGGAGGGTAATCTACACTAGGCTTCATGGCAAGCCTGTAGCAGATTTGGGGGGGGGGGGAATGCAGCCAGTATGATTCTGAGTCTTGAGTGGTGGCTACCCCAGAAATGATAGCATTTTATTGGCGTGAATGATTACTCAGCTGGGTCCAACACTCCTTCTTGAATCACAGTACCATTAGTTAGGTCACAGAAGAATTTAACCTCTCTGTCCTTGCTACAGTTTGATGGATTGCCCCTGGAAGAAGAAGTGGTAGAAGGGGATGGCCCTCTGGAGAAGGAGCTCACAATTGACAACATCATTGGGGAGAAGATCGAGATCCTTGCTCCAGTGAACTCACCCTCCTTGGATTTCAATGATAATGAGGACATTCCCACTGAGCTCAGTGATTCATCTGACACCCATGACGAAGGTAGGGGCTTAGACCGGGGCTTGTTTTTCTTCACTCCTAGTGGAAGAGGCTGAAATGGCATCTCTACCCAGAGACTTGAGGGTATCTCCAGGCTCATTGCAGAACTGGCTCTGTGGGCAAAATTGTGAAGCAGGGGAAATTGAACTTCAGTCTGTCTTCTTACCTCCCCAAACCCTGCCCTCTTGCTTCAGTGTCCATGCTGAGTACCCCATCTGTGTAGTTCTAGCCTTCCCATAGCTTTATGCTTTGTCTGCCACCCAGGGTTTATCATCACCATATTCCTCCATGGAAACGTGCACCCCCTCAGGCTGGAGGGGCTGACTAACCAGCCTGGTAGTCAAGTAAATGCTAGTGTATGAATGGAACAAGGCCATTATTGCTATGTAAAAAGTACCTTTCCACTGGGGACTTTTAGAGTCATTGTCTGCTCCTTCCATTTGTTGTCTTAAGTTATTGGTGACTAATGGTAGGAAGTTAGACTTGGCTGGTATATTAGGGTGGTGCCTTGGCAGACTGATGAGGAAACTGTTAGGGTCAAGTGAACCTTTTGACTCATCCTCATGAGATTGCTGAGGAGGTAGCCTCCCACTGGACCCTTCCACAAGGACAATCTCAAGTCACCTGAGTAGGAAAGATACTGCACTTCCAGTTCATTGAAGAGAAGCCAAATTCATTAATTAATCATTAACTCAACACTGGCTAATTGATGGTTGGTTAATGACTAGTGAATATAGTAAGCTTTCAATTATTTAGCTGTGAATGAACTAATTTGTGGATTACACAATTAAAACCTCTTCCAAGTGTTCCACCACTGTCCCCTGCTCGGTAGCCAGGCCTTCATATAAAATGTTGCCTAGGATACTGATTCCATTCCAAAAAAACTCTGTTTTGGAGGTAACCTGGTCCTCAACTGTATCTATCCCCTAGCCCCTTTTCAATGTTCCTCTCCCTGTCTCTTCCCTGCAGGAGAAGTCCAAGCATTCTATGAAGACCTGAGTGGCCGGCAGTATGTGAATGAGGTCTTTAACTTCAGTGTTGATAAACTCTACGACCTACTCTTCACGGACTCTCCCTTTCAGAGGGATTTCATGGAACAGCGACGCTTCTCTGGTCTGTTTCATCCGGGGTTCCCCTTTTCTTCCTTCACTGGCTCTTCCTTGTTTTCTTTTCCTTCCTTTGAACATTCCCTTCCTTTTCTTCTCACTTCTTTCTCTCTTCTCTTCCAGTTTCCCTTCTTTCCTGACTCACTCCTTTCCCTTCCCCTTTCCTTTCTCCTTCCTGTCCGCTATCGTCATCTTCCAGTTTTCCTTCTTCCACTTCCCTCATGGCCTTCTGTCTTTTCCTCTTTCTCTTGTGTCGTTCCTCTGCTTTCATCTTTGCTTTCTTCTTTTTGTGCCTCTCAACCCAACGTGTAAGAATATATCTCTGGCCCCAGAGGGACTCGTGTTGCTTTCTTATCTAGATATCTCCCCTCCAGAACACCAGTTGGGGACTCCAGTTTTGGAGTCTCCAGTGGCCCTTCCTTTGGAATTCTGTTCTGCCTTCTACTGTCTGCTCCATACCTTGTGCTCTAAACTTAGTACAGGCAGACAATATCCTGTCCTTCGTACGTGCAATTCAATTCAGTGTTTAGTTAGCATAATATCTCAGTATGCTGGCCTCTGTGCTAGCAGGGGAGGGCATTCACAGGGCACTGGAGAGTCACAGTGTATGAGAAAGGAGGGCTTTTTCCCAGGAGAACCCAGACCCTCATCACAGTAACTCCAGTGTTGCCAGAATCCTTGTAGGTGGCCCCAAGACCTCTTGCCCCTGCCCCAGGCACCGTTGGAATTCCTGAGCTCTGTGCAGAATTTCAGCAATACTACAATGAGCCTCTTTCTCCTTCAACTCGTCCTGCCTCCCACCCATACACCCAGCCCTCCTTCCTTTTTTCCTGCCTCTCTCTCCACTGCCCCTCCCCTTGTACTCAAGTTCCCATTGGCCTCTACTTAGACTCCAGTTGTCCACTCACAGAAGCTGAGAACAGTTCCCTTGGAGGTGAAATTCAAATCAGGGTATCTTTTTTTCTCCCTCCCTACTCCCTCACCCCCTCACTACTACCAGATATCATCTTTCATCCATGGAAAAAGGAAGACAATGGAAACCAGAGTCGAGTGATTCTCTACACCATCACCCTCACTAATCCTCTGGCTCCCAAAACTGCCACTGTTACAGAGACACAGGTAAATAAAGTGTAGATGGGAAAGAAAAGGAGGCCCCCCCAATCCTAGTACCAAGAAGTGTGGGCAGTATCTCAGACCCCCCAGGTATTTCTTTGGGAAGTGGGGGGGGGTAGGGGAACCAACTTAACTCTCTTTTTGTCCTGACCCATGGCTCCCTTCTCACTTCATAGACCATGTACAAGGCCTGCCAGGAGAGCGAATGCTATGTGATAGATGCTGAGGTGCTCACCCACGATGTGCCATACCATGACTACTTCTATACCATCAACCGCTACACGCTCACCCGAGTGGCTCGAAATAAGAGCCGACTCAGGTATTGACATCCCAGAGGTGTGGTTGGCCCAGGGAGAGGTTCTTCAAGGAGACCCCAAACAGAGCGCATCCATGTGGTTTAACACATAGGTCATAACTGTAGAACTGAAAGGGACCTCAGAGATCATCTAATCATCTCCCTAATTTTAAAGATGAGGAAAAAGCCCGGCAACTCACCCAAGGTCACCCAAATATTAAGTGACACAGCCGGGGTTCAAGCCCATGGCTTGACTCTACATCCAGGGCTCTTTTCATTGGTTGTTAGAGATGAAATGGGGTTGAATACTGCTTCAACCCTTGACTTCTGTTGGTCTTACTGCAGCTTCCAGGGATGCTTTTGACATTATAGGCTTAGGGTTGCCCTGGAGCAGTGGACATAACTGAGGTCTGTTTTGTAAAGTATTGGAAAAGGTAACAGCAATGATGGAAGCTGTTGGGAGGAAGGATAAGGTGTCTGGCTCAGGGAGGCTGGAGGACCCAAAGCTGGAAGGTGACAGGGAAGAACGGCAAGGTGGAAGAGGACTCAGAGGAAGGACCGGAGTCTGGGGTTGTAGAGAAATGGATTGGAACAGCCAGAAATGTGTTAGTCTATCAAAGTCAACTCAAATACCACTTCCACAGAGCCCCCTGTTGTCCTTCCAGATGCAAGTGTTCTCTCTTTCTCTCATCTTAATGACTGCATTGTGTATTTCCTTGTATTGTTATTTCTGTACATGTCTTATCTTCCCTTCTAGAGAGTAAGTTCCCAGAGGATTGAGACCATGTCTTAGATTTTGTTGTAGCCACCTTGGTTTCTAAAACCATACTTTGTACATAGTAGGCACTCAATTAATGCTTGTTGAATGATTGTGTTAAGTTCTTCATAGAAGAATTTCAGAGTTGGGAGGGACCTCAGAAGCCATCCCATCTTGCCAGTATGTGAGTGTATGTATGTGTGCATATACACATGTGTATGTGCACACATATGTATATGTATATACACATGAGTATATGTAACCAAGAAACATCACCAACCAATCTTGGCTTAATGATCTCCATTAAAGGGAAACCCACTAGCTCTCAAAGCAGCCCATTCTTCATTTGGATAACTCTAATTGTTGGGAGGTCATCCTTATGCCAAGCCTGACTCTCTATGACTACTACCAAGTGTACTTAGTTCTGTACCCTGGGGCCAAGCAGAACCGTTTTAGTTTAATTTACTCTTCTCTGATGGCCCCTCATACACTTGGAAATAGCTGCCATGTCTTCTCTTTGTGCCCTCTCCTGGGCACTGTGGAAGCTCTCCTGGTGAAGGGCAAATGAATCCATGGGAAAAGGAAACATACCAGAGAGGGTACTGAAGGGGAACAAAAGGTGGGAGGAGGAAATAGATTTAGGGAAGAGGATGGGGTGGAGGTGCTGTGTCCTGCATCAGAGTGGGCATGGCGGGTGAGAAAGGTGGAGATCTGGGTATTGAGGAAGGGGATTCCTGAAAGATAACAAACTTCATTCTTTGATTCTGAACAAAAAATGACACAAATCCTTCAAACTTAAGTATTAGAAGGGTTTCCATAGGGTAGATGGTAGATAGTGAGTTTATTCTGCTTCATCCTGGAGAGGGGAACAGTATTAGTAGATGGAATGTGGGTTTGGGATCAGCATAACAAATTACTACTTAATAGCTCAAGGTTTTCACAGGTGGAAGAGTAGGTGTTCCCTGGTTTGGGAATTCTTTAGGAAGAGGATAGTGGATAGTCATTAAGATTTGTGATTTGGGTAGATCATTGGACCTAATGACCTCTGAGATCCCTTTCAAACTTAAGCCCTCTGAGTTATTCAATTCCATGGGACCAGCCTCTGGAACAAGGAAGGAGTAACTGGGATTTGCCATATTATTTTGCATTTGGCATTAGGAAGCCCTCAGTGCCCTGACCTCTGCCTGTCATCTGAGGTGCCCTCCCTCTGTACTGGGAACACAGGTGGTGACTTGTACCTAGATGGCTTTTTTCAAACCCTGAGGGAGTTGGGATTGTGGGAGGAAGGTCTCCTTTGATTTGAGTCCTCCCTTTTCTCGGATGAGTTAAAGCCTATTCTAAAATAACAGGTTTGGTTTGGGGCTTCATTTCTTAGGGTCTCCACAGAGCTGCGCTATAGAAAACAACCCTGGGGGCTAGTGAAAACCTTCATTGAGAAGAATTTCTGGAGTGGGCTCGAGGATTATTTTCGCCATTTGGGTGAGGACTGATAACACTGCTGTGGCTAGGACCCTAGTGGGAAGGGTGGAAGAATGTGAGTGGAAGGGGTTGGAAAGTGTGAAGGTGGGGTCAGGCAGGAAAAGAATGATTGTGTATAGAGAAGCATGCTTTATGAGTCTTGATTTGCAAACATTAGTTGGTAGACTATAAGGAGAATCAGAATGGTAGCACTAGAAGGCAGTTTAGAGATCGTTGAGGTTAATGTCCCCCTTTTATAGATGGCTTTGATGGCAAACTGAGGCTCAGCAGGGGTGAACTGGCTTAGGATCACAGGATTATATTATTTAGAGCCATGAGAGATCTTGGGCATCATCCAACTTTCCACTCCCTCATTTTATTTCTGAGGCTCAGAAAGTCATATAGGTAGTTCAAGCAATGGAATTCAAGCTTCTTGATTCCTAATCTAGTCCCCTTTCCACTACACCACACTGTTAATGTATAGACTGCGTGCCGATGTGCATAAATGAAAGTCTGAGTGTGCCAAAGGGTGAAAGAGAGAGACTAAGATTTCATGCAGTAACTGTGATGTTTCACAAGCATTTGACACACTACCTGGCTTTCAGCCACTGTGGAAGGTAAGAAGGGTCCCACCTAAGAGGCACTTCTTTTCTGAATTTCAGTTTTATTTTATTTTTAGATCCATATTCTCTCCTTCCCATCTCTCCATTGAGAAAACAAGAAAAATGCAATCCCTGTTACAAATCTATATAGTCAGGCAAAAGAAATTCTCATTTGGGCCATGTCCAAAAAAAAAAATCTCAATGTGCATCAGATTGCATATGTCATCTCTCTGTTAGGAGGTGGATAGCATGCTTCATCCTGAGTAGGAGCTGCTTCTTGATGTCCCATATCCTTTCCCTCTAACCAAAGCAGCATACTGGCAAGTTGGCATCTAGGGAAGGAGGAAGGGAGAGGAGAGATAGTCCTAAAAGGAAGGAAGCCCATACTTGGATTTGGGAAGTGTCAGGAGATGGGGATGTGGCCTGTATACCCCTGGTTCCTGACATAGCACCATCTACCTTGGCAGAGAGTGAGTTGACAAAAACAGAGAGCACCTACCTGGCTGAGTTACACAGACAGTCTCCCAAAGAGAAGGCCAGCAAAGCCCCTGCTGTTCGGAGGAGGAAGCGACCCCATGCCCATCTGAGGGTACCCCATTTGGAGGAGGTTTGAGCCCTGTCACTACTCCTACAGATGAGGACGTGGGCCATAGGATCAAACACGTAGCAGGTATGACCCACTTTAGGGCAGGAGATGGAAAATGGGAGGTAGGGCCCTGGACTGAAGCCTATATTTCTGTAATTGAAGTTCTTGACTGGAGATTAAATTTAATGCAGTTCAGTTCAACAAATATATGTGAACCATCTTTATATAAGGCATTGTGCTGTGTGTTGGAGATAGTCACACATTTCTGTACTTTACATGTTATTTGCATTAGTCTGTATTTGACCCATTAAATATCTTAATAAACATGAAACACCCTTATCATTGAGCATCTCTGATACAGTGTTTTTAGGACTTTCCAAAGTCCCAGTCCATGACAATTCCAATTGCTGTTAGCTTCACTGGGAGCAAGTTCTATTCGGACTTGGTTTCCATGCCTTTAAGTTCCCTTGACAGCCCTGCTTGAGCCCTGCAGAACTGGTACATGTTGAAGGACACCCTTGTGAGAGTGGTCACTGCTCCTGGAGAAAGCTCACTGCTTGACCAGGGACCACAGTTCCAACCCCGATAGTAGCTAAGACACCATGTCCATGCTCCCTGCCATAAGGCTGGTAGATGAACAATTACATATGCATTCCCAGGCCCATGCTATCCATCCCTCTTCTTCCCTAGCTTTTCCTGCAGGGATTATATTTATATTTCATTGGGCAAATGAGACTCCCACAGTGACTTCCTTGCTCCCTGTATTGGATACTTTATGGATTCCATCTTGGCTTTGTTTAATCATTTTATTCCGATGCTTTTTTTATCCTTACATACATGGCCAATAATGTAATTGTTCAATAAGTATCCATTCAACATCTATCCTATCATAGGATCTGAGGAGCATTAAAAGAAATAGAAGACACAGCCTTTATTCATCACTTAGGAACTTATATTTTAATTGAGGGTATGGCTTGGTAAGGCCTTGGAAGGTAGGGGCCATCTTGTATGACACTCTATACAGCTATTGCCATGGCAGACCTCGTGGAACTTAGAGTAAGGAATAAGAAGGGGCCCGAAGAAGAAGAAGAGGATGACCGGTAGTGAGTGACTGTTGGTGACAACCTGCCATGTTCTTTTCTATAGGCTCTACCCAGACCCGGCACATCCCTGAAGACACTCCTACTGGCGGCTTCCACCTTCAGAGTGTGTCCAAGCTGCTCCTCATTATCAGCTGTGTGTAAGGGACTCCTAGGCTCCCCCTTGCCTTTCTCTTGCTCTACCATTCCCTAGAGCTCATTTTAGCCTTTCCAGGCACATGATGCCTCCTGGCTTCTGCCTTCTCTCTCTGCCCTTCATTTCTTTCCCTTCTTTCTCTCTTTAGCGCTGTTTGTCTCTGCTGTCTTCACCCCTGCATCCTTCTTCTCTTTGTCTATTTCCTCAGTCCACAGAGTAAACCATAAGATGATTTACTAGAAGAGATTTAACTAAAACACATTTTAAAGTACTCTACAGATATAAGATGGCATTTTGTCTTTGTGTTTCTGTCTCGATTTTTTCTTACCCTTTGTCTCTGTTCATCATGTGGTCTTTCTTTCCTGACTCTGCATGGCCGTGTCTCTTTTTTCAAATCTTTGTCTGCCTCCCATGACCTCTCTCTTTTTAAAAAATAAACTTTGTTAATAGCTTTTGTTTTCATGCCACCTACATCTCCCAATATATCCTTAGAGAAAGCTTAGAATAAGAGCAAAGAATAAAAGAAGCAAAATACAGTTCAGCAAAAACTAACCAACTTATCAAAACAGTCTGACATTATATGAAGCATATAGCCTTAGCCCTGGAATACAAAGAAGCAAGGGTAAAGGCCCATTCTCAAGCCTCTTCTTTGGACCAGGCTTGGTCATTATAATTGGGCAATATTGTCTTGATTTTTTTTTTGTTTGTTTTAGTCATCATGTATATTGTTTTCCTACCTTTCCTTACCTACCTCTGCATCAAATCACAGTAAGTTGTCCATACCTTTCTGTATTCATCATATTTATGGCTTCTTACAGCAGAATGATAGATGGTCATATTTAAGTGATACAATTTGTTTCGCCATTCCCCAGTGAACATCTACTTTATTTCCATTTCTTTGCTACTACAAAAAGTGCCGCTCTCAATGTTTTGGTGTATAGGGGGCACTTCCTTTTGTCACTGACCTTACCCACGAGCTTTTATTATGACATAATTTTCAGTGGATGCTAAGGCCCAGGGAGGGAAAGGGTTTGCCCAAAAGTCACCTAGTGAGCACCAGCTAACCTACTTCATCCGTTAAATCATGCTGTCAAAAACATCAGCTAGTCACCCAGCCCCCCTGACCCCTCCCTACAGGACAGTGTGAAGGGTGCAGGAGACACTTCATTAGTTTTGCAAATATCTCTTTGTAAGTAAGTCTCTTATACCAGTGAGCCCTGAGTGGTACAGTGAACCCTGCTCAGGGACATTGGCTTTGTTTTCTTTTCTCTCTCCTTCCCTCCCTACTCTTTCTTTTTCTCTTTTCCTTCCTTCCTTCTTTCCTTCCTTCCTTCCCCACTCTTTCTTTCCCTGTGATTTATACAGAGCTCCACTTGCTCTTCAACTTATAGTCAGAGAAAAGGAGTTCTTCCCCTTTTTTTCTGTCACGGATCCTTCTGGCAATCTAGTAAAGCATGTGGCCCCTTTCTTAGGTGATTTTTAAATGCATAAATAAAATACATAAGATTACAAAGGAAACCAAATACATTGAAATTCAGTTATCAAAATATAGTAAGAAAAAAAAACTCACAAGTTCACAGACCTCGGGTTAAGAACTCCTAACATAGTGAATTGGTTGAGGAGTTACCTAGGGTCTCCCAGTATATGTCACAGAGCCTGACCCTAATCTTACTGACTGTGATGGCAGTATTCTCTCTCTCTCTCTCTCTCTCTCTCTCTCTCTCTCTCTCTCTCTCTCGCTCTCTCGTCTCTCTCTCTCTCTCTCGCTCTCTCTCTCTCTCTCCCTCCCTCTCCCTGTCTCTCTCTTTCTCTTGTTTTCCTTCCCTCCTCCTTCTCCCCCTTCTCCCATGCCATGCTGCCCCTCCTCACTAGCATTTTCCCAGGGGCATTATCAAACAATCCTACATTTAATGCTTTTCGGGATCACTGATTGGTGTTCTCACCTTCATCCCTCTCACCTATCCTGTTTTATTATAATAACTCATATTTACATTAATACTTTATGGCTTATAAAAAGTGTCTTCCTCACAACAGCCCTATGAGGTGGTTAGTGCAAATAGTATTACGTCCATTTTACTGGTGAGGGGACTGAGGGTAGGGGAGTTTAAGGTGCTTGTCTAGAGTTACATAGCTAGTATTGGAGATAGGATTTGAACCCACGGTTCCTGACTCCAAGTCTAACAGCATGCTTCTGGCCTTCTCAAGCTCAGTCAGACCCCTAGGGCAGCAGTGCAGAGAAGAGGGCGCAGAAAGGAAGGGTAAGGATTAGCAGTCATGGCTCCTAGAGATTCAGTCAGGTTTCAGTAATAGAATCTTCTTCTTGTCTCTGTGTCTGTCCTTCTTGCCCTCCTTCTCTGCAGATTTCCCCTTCTGTATGTCAGTCCTTTTCTAACCTCTACCTCCTCCTTCTTTTCTCTCCCCTGCACCCATTAGGATCTGTTTCAGGTACTGTCTCTATGGTTTACCTTCTTTACTCCCTCAAGTCTTTCCTTTCTTTCCCCCACTTCTTTTGGGATCCTAATTTGTAGTACTCTATCTGCCCTTGGCACCCTTCTGTATCTTTCTTTGCCCCCAATCCTCACATTACTCTCCCTGTGACTCTGTATCATTCCTCTGGCCCCTCAAACCAGCTCTGTCTGCCAGTCTCTCTTTCTCTCATTCTTTCCTTCTCTGTCATCAACTCTTTCTCTCCCTCTGTCACTGTCCCTGTCTTTCCCTCTTCCCCTCTCCATGCATTTGTGCATGCTCTCCTTTCCCTTTCCCTTGCTCCCTGTCTTTATCTCTCTCCTCTTCTCTTCCTTCTCTCTCCCTTTCTTCTTTTCTTCTCTATCTCTCTCTTCCTTTTTTCTCTCCCTCTCTCTTCCTCTCTTTTCCCTTCCCTCTCTTTCTTCCTCTCTTGCCTCTCTCTCTCTGTTTTCCTCTTTTTCTTCTTTCTCTACACACACACACACACACACACACACATACATATATACTTTTCTTTTTTGGCTCTATCCTCTCCCCTGTTCTTACCTCTTCTCTCCCTCCCTCCTTCACTTTCTTCTTCTTCCTCTGTGCTTCCTTTTTTCTCTCCAAAGTTTCTGGGGGAAACAGTGGTAGTTTGGGCCAAGGCCATGGCAGAGTTTTCTTGGTCAGGGAAGATGTTTGCCCCTGTGCCTGGGCCTTGGCCACCAACCAGCCTACTTCTTTATTGGTTTTTCCTTTGTTCCCCACTCTTCCTTCCCCAGCCTGGTGCTGCTGGTGATTCTCAACATGATGCTGTTCTACAAACTCTGGATGCTAGAATACACTACCCAGACTCTCACTGCATGGCAGGGCCTGAGACTTCAGGACAGGTAACCTGAGATCCATCTCCATCCTGTACACAGATGACCAACCTCCCCTTCCCCAATCCACTACAGAACCCTTCTCCTCAGCGAGGAATGGCTCCTTTCTGGTTTCCCTTCTGTTCACTTTTTGGGGGTGGGGTTAGGGAAGGGAGGAAACAGCAGGGAATGAGTGGAGAGTATAGCACTGTGATGTGACTCTCTGTCCTCTAGGGGTCTGGGAGCACAGGACAGTCCTCTGAGCATAACTCCAGCTGCCGGGGTGACCCTTCTTGTGCCCCACAGGTTACCCCAGTCCCAGACAGAATGGGCTCAGCTCTTAGAATCCCAACAAAAGTATCATGACACAGAGCTCCAAAAATGGAGGGAGATCATCAAATCCTCTGTGATGCTTCTAGACCAGGTAAACACCTTCCCTGCCTCCACCCCCACTCCTCTCCTTTGCCCCTGCCCTAGGGCACTGATTAGCCAGCCTTCTAGAGGAGCCACTGTTGAGGACTTAGAGGCAGGAAGTGCACTCAGGTGTTCCCTATTCCTTAGAGCACAGCACAAGAGCAAACAAACCCCTTTGGGCAGGAGAGATTTACAGTCTTATTCCTTACAGTGAAGGAAGGAAAATGATGTAAACAGTGAAATGCAGGTGTCCAAGGAAGGTTGGAAAGCCTTCCTCGTAGTCCCAGGGATCGTATAATCTTCTCATGTTTAGTGTCTTGCTCTGCCCTTATCATATGTAGCATACTTCTCTGCCTCAGTAAAAGCCTTTGGAAGGAAGGAAACAAGCATTTATTAAGCACCTCCTGTGTTCTAGGCACTGTGATAGGCACTTTATAAATGTCTCATTTGATCTGCACAAAAAACCTGGGAGAGAAGTATTATTTATTATCTTCATTTTACAGCTGAGGAAACTGAGGCAGGCAGAGGTAAAGTGACTTGCCCAGGGTCACATAGCTAGTAAGTGACCAGATTTGAACTCAAGTCTTCCTGAGTCCAGGATGCTGCTTTCAGCAGTTTAAGTACTCGTTCTTATCAGATGGCTGGGGTACACCCCAGCATGATTTATATTCTTTGCAGCATAGTACTCTTTGTGGTCTTGTCCAAAGTACCATGTAGCTGTTTAGGGAAGTAACTTTAAGTTGTAATCCAATATTGGCCCAGTTATAGGACAACAGCTCCTCCACTCCACCCTTCCCAGACTTTATATATCCACTAAAGTCTTGTTTAGTATGGATGTGACTGGATTCTTGAAGCCCCTGCCAGAAAAATCTGAGTTCTGTTAGGTCCTACCAAGCTGGAAGGGTTTTGAGCAGAGACCAAGAGAGAATGGCTATCTGGAATTCAAAGGGTGACCTGCATTGGGACAAGGGTGTACTAACACTAATGCAGTTTCAGATCAATAAAGAAAGGCTCCCTTGTGTGATTTCATTAGTGTGGGGTTGCCCCTGGCGTGGAAGCTCTCTTTTCAAATAGAGATCAATAACTCTGTTAATCAGCACAGCCTTAGAAAGTTGCTTGGGTCACTGAAAGAGGTTAAGTGACTTGCCTTCAGTTAGATAATGAGTATTTGTTAGCCCTGATCTCAGGTTTTCCAGATTTCAAGGCTGATTGTCTGTGCTGCCTCTCAAGCTTACCTTGAAGTAGTCAAATTGGCAGAAGCATCCTTTTTGACATGCAGAAAAATTTTAAAGCTAGCCAGATATGCCATCTAGCACAGAACCATCATGATTTTTTTCATATTGACCATAATAGTGATGGGAAGACTGGGTAGAGCTTTTAAATGAACTCACTGGTCACTTCATCCCTGAGAGCAGGGCAGGACACTCTTAGGATGGTCAGAATTGTTTTGTTGGCAACTTAACATAATGGATAGAATGCCAGACATAGAATCTGAATGACCTGGGTTCAGAACTCTGATTCTAACCCTTATTAGCTATCTTACTCAACTTCTCTGGGCCTCATTTTCCTCATCTATCTATAGATATCTATAGTATGCTCCTCATGTGCTTATTGTAAGGTTCAAGTAAGATAATATATGTAAAGTCCTCTACAAATGTAAAAGTTGTTATTATTATTATTGATACTGCAAAGGCAGTTAGGGAGTAGAGTGGTTAGATCTTTAGGCCTGGAGTAAGGAAGACCTGAGTTAAAATCCAGACTCAGGCATTTTCTAGCTATATGATCCTGGGCAAGTCATTTAACCTCTGCTGCTTCAGTTTCCTCAACTATAAAATGGAGATAATAATAGCATCTACTTCCCAGGGTTGTCTGGAGGACAAAATGAAATATTTGTAAAGCACGTTATAAACCGTAAGGAAATATCTAAATGCTAGCTCTGATGATTGTAGCTATTACTACTACTACTACTACTACTACTACTACTACTACTACTACTACTACTACTACTACTACTACTACTACTATTACTACTGGGGTCCTTTTCCCCAAGCCCTCCTACTCCCTTGGCCATATTTAGGACTTAGCACCAGGTTGGATGAGTTAGTCTTAAAGCAAACACCAAAGGTACATTTTGGTTGTTCAGTTGTTTCAGTCGTGTCGCTAGCTCTGATGATTGTAGCTATTACTACTACTACTACTACTACTACTACTACTACTACTACTACTACTACTACTATTACTACTGGGGTCCTTTTCCCCAAGCCCTCCTACTCCCTTGGCCATATTTAGGACTCAGCACCAGGTTGGATGAGTTAGTCTTAAAGCAAACACCAAAGGTACATTTTGGTTGTTCAGTTGTTTCAGTCGTGTCTGACTCTTCATGACCCCATTTGAGTTTTTCTTAGCAAAGATACTAGAATGGTTTGCCATTTCTTTTTCTAGCTCATTTTACAGATGAGGACACTGAGGCAAATAGGGTTAAATGACTTGCTTCAGGTCACACAGCTAGTAAGTGTCTGAAGCCAGATTTGAACTCAGGAAGATGAGTCTTCCTGACTCCAGGCCCAGCACTCTATCCACTGAGCTACCTAGCCGCCCATTTTACCACATCTAAGATATCATATTCCATTCTATTGCCATATTAAAGGGCTATGTTGATAAGCCAAAGAGTGTAACCAGACATGGGCCACAAGAGTCTGGAAGGAACTGAGGATGTTGAGCCTAGAAAAAGCAATGGGAAGACATGATAGTTGTCGTCAACTTTTTGAAGAGCTGTTGCGTGGACAAACATTGTCTGTTGTTGCAGAAGGCAGAACCAGGACCAGTGGGGCTTTTGGCTCAGCATAAAGAACAGCTTTATAACAGTTCCTGTCAAAGGAAGTTTTCAGGCAGAGCCCTGTGGAAGAATTTCGTACTCTGAGTGGGAGGTTAGAATAGAAATAATACTGATCTTGGAGTCCTCATTTGTGGGTTTGAATCCTGGCTTTGTCACTTGCTATCTGTATGACCTTGGGGCAAATCAGTTTAACCTCCCTGGGCCTTACTTTTCTTCAGCTGTAAATTGAGGGGTTGGAATCGATGGCCTCTAAAGGCCCTTCTAGTTCCAAATCAGTGGTCTGTGACCCGAGTTCAAATCCCAGCTCTGCTAGTTACTACCCATTATGTCCTACCTATTTGTAAAATGGGGGAAGGAAGGGAGGAGTTGGACTTGGCCATCTCAGAAGCCCCTTTTAGCCCTGAATCTATGGTTTCATCATTTCACAGTTGAGAAACCTTATCATTCTAAAATCAGATTTCCCAGTTCTGGGGGATATTCCCTAGAAACAAAATGCTGACGTGATGTTGGGGGAGTTAGGTAAGTAGAATAGCTTTGAAAAATAGCTTCTGAGGAATTAAGGTTTGGGGAGAATTAGGCCAGGGCTTCTCTCACACTGCATGCACTATTAGTTTCCTAGTAGAATAGCTTGAAAAATAGCTTCTGAGGAATTAAGGTTTGGGGAGAATTAGGCCAGGGCTTCTCTCACACTGCATGCACTGTTAGTTTCCTTGAGAAGGTAGCCCTATGAGGTCATACTTTGCCTTAGGATCCTGGCTCCCCTAGCTCCCTAACTCAGTTGAATTACTTTGATAAGTATTTGGTGATCTTTGTGGAGGAAGCCAACTCAGTGCTGTGTACCTCTTGGGTGGGGTCGGCCTCCCCTTGTCTTACAGATGAAGGACTCACTCATCAACCTTCAGAATGGCATCAGAACCCGGGACTACTCATCTGAGAAAGAGGAGAAGAGGAACCACTATCATTGACAAGGCAGAATAGGGGTGACTCCAGAGGCCTGTGCAATACATGTACATAGACCATATAAATATATATATAAATATATATATATATACAGAATATAAATATATATTATATACAGATTTTAAAAAGAGATAATGCCTATGTACCAGGAGAAGGAGCGGGACTGCCTCCTGCACTGGCCAGAAAAGCAATTTCTTTTGGTGGAGGGCAGGGGGCAACTCCCAGCACCAACCCTCTCAACCTTCTCTGTCCCCCCCAGTCCTTCCATCCCCACCCTTCCCTTGCTGGCCATCCCTTGGCTGTTTGAAGGGAAGTGAAGTTGAGCCAAAGTCATGCTTGGGCAGGCCCTGGGGTCTTGGATAGGAGTCTCAAAGGGGCATTGCTGTGGTGCTTCATTCCCTGCCCTCCATTTTTTTTGGAAAATTGGAAAAAAAAGGGGGGGGGAGGATTCCTCTTTCCCTGCCATCCCAGCTTATCCTGGATGCCTAGGTGTGGGGGGCAGGGATTCAGGCCTCCAATTGACAGAGGGGGCTCCACCTATATCCCACCGTGAAGGGCCACCAAGGAAAAGTGGACCTTCAGCCAGATGGACAGGACTTGTTAGATAAGCCAAAAGGCAGTATTTGTGGGATTTGTGGTAGGTGGGAGGGTATGGGAGTGGGCAGAGTGGGAGGGCTTTGAGACTAAAGAGTCCCTGATAATTCTTTGCAACTGCTGCCTCCCCTGGTCTTCACTGGGGCCCTCCAGCTCAAAATACATTTGGGCTGGGGGAGCACAGGTCTCTCATTTTCTACTCTCTCACTCAGGTTGGGTCTGTATAAAATTAAGTTGCTTTTGAGTGCCTGAAATTCTGCTGTCCTCTTCCTCTTCCCCCTCCCCAAAGAACACTGTTTCTTAGGATGTGTAAAACTTACATGATTTTGTTAAGAACTTATTTTTATCAGTTTTAGGGCCAGAAGGTGAATAGTTCTAATTCAGTTCACTTTGAGCCAATGCTGTAAAATACCCAGTAGGGGTAGGAGTAGGGTGGGGGCGGGGAGGGGGGCTTGAGAGAAGGAATGCAAGGTCATGTGTAGGAACTGGCAGGGCACAAAAAACACTGCAGAGTCGTTCTGAAAAGGACTGAGCCCAAGCTTACACTTCTCATCCTCAGATGGTTGCCAGTGTTGTTTTTTACATGCTCCTTCTCCCCCCCAGCATGTAGACCCATTTTCTGTCCAGAGGGATTCTGCTCTCTGTTGTATTTTATTTCTGGCGTGAAAGGAAGGATCTACTTGATAGAGGGGATGAGGACCAGGGCAGCATCTCTTTCTCTTTCATAGTCCCTAATCCAGCTAGTATTTAGGCTTCTGAACAGAGGAGGAGTTGGTAGAGGAAAACTCCCTCTGGCCTTTTGGTCTAGGAGGTGTCATGGAGTAAGGGGATGAAGCTGGACTGGGGAGTTGAGTCATCACTGTGTTTTTTCTTAAGAATTGAGACATTAGTCAGGCACATGGACCAGAGGGATGGATAGTATCCAAGCCTGGTCTGAGCAGTAAGCTTCTTAGCTTGGAACTCATATCTAAGCTCTACCCCCTAACTACAATGTTTCCTCTTTTAAATCCAAGGGATTCCTGCCTGAAATAGGCAGAATCCAAAAAGGAATATTGAACTGGAAAGGGAAAGGGACCAGCAGCAAGGTGGTGAGAAGGGCTCTTTAGATGACATAAACCTTCTGGGCCCTAGGAAGCAGGGATCAGGGAAAATTCAAGAACAAAGATTATCATAAAAAGAAGATAGTTTTTACTGATGTCCTATATTGATGTTTAACAAATAGTGGACTTCTGTTTTTCCTGGTGGCCAGGCAGAGAGGGCAGCCTGGGAGTGGGGGCTTTTGGACCTCCATAACCACAGTATCCCAGGAAATCAAACAGTAGGGGGAATTAACATGAAATGTGAATGTCTCTACAGGGGTGACCTTTTCTGGGGTGGGGACAGGGCCTAACTTAGAATGGGGGTGAGAAAGTTAAGATACTGGATGATATATTCCCAGTAGGAGTGAGGAAAAGGGTCTCTGTTTCATGCTGAATTTGGTTCCTATCCCTGCTGCACCCTCAGAGGACAGCGTGAGACTTGAGATTTGGGGAGATAAGAGTGACTAGAATCTCTTAGGAGGGTGGATATCTTCATAAGCCAGTGCTGCTTCATGAAACACTGCCAATCACCCATTTAGCAGCTGTCAACTGAAGTCATTTTTCTCTGGCCCAATTAAGTAACCAGTAACTGAATGAAAAAGGCTGGGCAGGGAACTTATGAATTCATTGTAAAGGAGGGAGGCAGTTGAATGACCTAAAATTATTAAAATCCAGAGTGGCCACAAGCCAAGATTGCTCACAGGAGCTTTTGGGGAGCAAGAGTTGTAAATTATCTTATTTATTTTATTTATCATTATTTATTTCATTGAGAGCTACTGCCTCCCCCTGGCTGTTGTGAGGTCTTTTCAAATGGCTTCAGAAAGGTTCCTTGGGAGGAGGATGAAGATTCATCCTCCCTGTTAAGCAAAGGGAAAAGGGCCACACACTGGAATCTGCTCTTCCTTAGCTCCTTCCAAGCTGTGTTAAGCAATTAGCATCAAGAGAAAGATTCTTGTTGTGTGTGTCTGAGGAGAGGAAGAGCTATATGTAGGAAATACCCAGGACCTTTCTGGTGAGTAGAAACTGGGACAGAATGTGTGACTTTTGGAGAGTTATTTTGACTTCTTTGAGCCTCAGTTTCATCATCTGCAACGAACCAGACATTCTCTAAAGCTATTTCTAGTGCTATGATTCTGTGATGCTAGGGCTAGGAGAAAGGCACTAGCCTGGATCCCTCCCTTCCCTGAAGCAGAAAGTCCAGTGGCTCCAAGGACTTCTCTTATTTGGGAGAAGGAACCTCAAGCCTTGCAGATGAGACAGCTCCCCCCCCCCACCCCCAAGGCTGCTCAGCCTGGGCTACCCACAGAGTAAAAGCAAAGACAATAACATGGTACTTACTACTGGCTTGTCATCCATGGCCATCATAGCCCCAGACTGGTAGCTCTCTGCAAGGGACATTCACAACCACCACCTGCCTTATTTCTTTTGATTGGAGATCCATTTCCAAACAGAAAAGAAACTTGATTTCATGTATTTCCTTTGGGGTCCTTCTGCAGAGGGAAGGGATGGGATAGTGCTGGGACTGCATTTGCAGATGGGTTCTTCATGCCAAGGCTTTTGTAAAGACTGTAGATGGAAGAGGAGCAGCCACCAGGTATTAACAGTTTAGAGGAATGCAGTTGAATCACCCATGGAGATTAGCAAAGTATGATCCCTAGTTTATTCTCTGTAGGAGAACAGCCACTTGAAGTCTGCAGCTTGGAAGCTACTTCCAGGTTTCATCAAGAGCCAGGGCCAAGGAGTTGTTAGTGTTTGAGGAGGATAAGATAGCTAGGCTAAGTTCTTTCAGGAGCCTTTAAGGACAGACCCTGCTGGATTAGGGCTTGGAGTTTTCCAGGATTACAAAGTGTCAGGGTAAGGTATTTATCCTAATTGGCAGGAGCTGGGTGGGCTGTGAGACAGTCCAGAAAAATCTACTAGCTCAGTATTCACCCCAAGACATGTTTCCTCCCTCCTGACCTCAGTTTTTCTTTGTTTGAGAATGTTTACTCACTTGGATTTCCCGTGAGTTAGAAGAGTGGGCTGGCTGGTGGGTTCAGTGAAGTCTACCCTCCCTGGAGGAAGCTTTGAGGTCAGTCCTCCTCTTTGGGAATCTCCATCCACTACTTCCTTCATATCCTCTTCTGCTGCTCACCATGCCCCCCCCCAAAAAAAAAACCCAAACCCACCTAAGGGTTTGGTTAACTGTGAAGTGCTCATAGGAGCCTCCAGAGAATGGAGAACTTCAGGGCATTGTACCTAAGAAACTGGGGCAGAAGAAGGAGACTGAGCAACCTTGAGCAGAGCATTGAGTTAGGAGTAGGCAGCCGGCTCCTTTTTCAGACTGTGCCTCAGGTTCCTGAGACAGCAGCTCAAGGGCAAGATCTAGGGAAGGGGCTAAGGGAGAAATATTTGTGATATTTGTGATTCCCCACAAGATTCTTTCCGTGCCATATCATGCTGCTTATCTAGACGTGCACGGCAGCCAAAGCTAGTCCCTCCCTTACCTTAATCCTTGAAGAGACAGTACCCTCTTTTCCAGGTGTCTGGGATATGGACTTCCCACCCCCACCTCTCATCAAAAGACATCTTCCCCTGGTGATTCCTCTAACCCCATTGCTCCTTTACTGTGTCTCTAGGCTATGAGACAATCACCCCTTCCCCCTTATCATTCTCCCTTATTTGGGCAGGCTGGCCCCGCTCCCCTTCACCTCTGTGTTTCCTTCCAGAAGATGTGTTTTTGGTTCTGAGAGGAACATTTTTCTGGAAGGCCACCTTTTTAACCACCTTGCTTTCCCATGTGAAAGCAGGAATTTTGCACATGGCGTAGAGAGCTCTCCTCCCTCCTCCTCTCTGCCCAGCCTCATTACCTCACTCCTCCTGCCCTGGCTGGTGGCATCTGTGATGGGACCAGACCAGATCTACTCCTTGCACCCAAGCCCCCCTCCCCCCAGCCCATGTTCCATGTGACAAGCACAGCTCAGGGGTCTTGGGCATTGTTTTCCGTTGCAATTCACGGTCCTCTCCAGGCCTGGGAACCTGGACCAGAGTCGCGGCTGCTAGTGAGAAGCACCTCTCCCGCCAAGGGTAGCTGATGCCAGATGATCTCCCCCACACGTGAAAGCTTAAAGAACATTTTCTTGCCTCCCTTGCCCCCTGCCTTTGGCCTCCTGCTTTTCTCAATACAATGTGGCACTTTGCAGAATCAATAGGGCGGCCTCTGTGCAAGGCGGGAAGACCGGGTAGCAGCTGGGGAGGCCATCCTGGACCTAGTTGCCAGTTGCATTGAGCCCGTAGGGAAAGCAGCATTTAGCCTGGCCATCCTGCGTGGATCCCAGCTCTTCCTTGCCCCACACTCTATGGGCCGGCCCAGAATTTGCATGGACCATCTTCCCCAACCCAAGGTGCTTTTGTTCTCCACTCACCCTGGGCCCCAGGTTGAAGAGGGGGGAGGGGGAAAGGCCACAGCTGCCTGCGGGCAGCCCTGAGGTGTGTTGGGTGCGGGGAGGGGGGGGTGCCCGGGAAAGGGGAAGAGCGCCGGTTTGAATGCCGTCAGGGTGTCTGGCTGTCTTTTGTTTGGTACTATAACTGTACTTTTGCCTGGCGCTGCGCGCGAGGTATGAAACCGGAAACTTACTGCTAGAACCTAGAGACGTACAAGGCTACTGAGCCAAATCTTAATGTAAAGTAGCTAGAGCCATGGAAGTGTGGTATGAATTAAAGGGAAAAAAGTATGGAACAAACGAAGACAAAACGGCTTGTGTGTTTATTGACTGCCTCTTTGGGCTTCCCAGCCCCAGATGTTTCTGTTCTCCCCAGTTGTGAGCACATAGTTATTCTCGTTCACACAACCCCCCCCCCACACACACACCTATCCTGCCTAGTACCCTGGACCACCTCTCTTCTCCCTGCCCTCACCTCCTTGTCATGCTGAATCTTTCCCTTTCCAGGTCTCGGCATCACTGGGTGGATTGGGTTTGGGCAGTGGGTTTGAGGACTTCTTTGCCCTCTTCCCCAGACTGGAAAGGAGGACATGATGGGAGGAGCAAGAAGCAGCTGAATGTGGCAATTTCATTAGCTCCTTACCCACCCTTGAAGATGTCATTCATTGGTGCTTGAGAGGGGAGGGGAACTGTTTCCCACTGTGAGCTGCAGAAGGGTTTGAATTTGGCGAGGCTGCAGTGAGTATTTAGTATGCTGCCTCCTGCAGGAGGGCTTACTTTGACATACGTGTCTGTCTCATACCTACGGTGTACCTCACCCTTGAGGATCTGGCCTATGGTTGAGCTCAGTTTACCTATAAACTGGTTGAAGGGAGGGGGTCTGGTAAAATCATTGTTAAACTAAAACAGTTTGATTTGTGTATATATTGACAAAGTTCTTGTGCCATGCTTGGATTCTCCTGATATACAACCAGTGATTCAAGAAGGAGAAATGCTGGATAGAAAGGGAAAAATAGCTGGGGGTAACTCATAGTAGTTGCACAGAGTAGATCCAAGCCAGGGTGAATTGTTTTTTAAGAGACCACTTTTATTGGATTGAACAGGGAGTAGATTTAAAAACATTATGTACACTGAGGATGGTGTCAGGTTGTGTAAGCGGGGGTGGCGGGGGACAACATTGCTAGACAGAAGTCAGAAACAGGTCAGCTGTGAGAAGAAACAGCAACATAAGGAAGACTAAAATGGAAAAATACCGTTTTTTTCAGACTACAAAGGTCTGTGACAGTGGTTGACATCATCCTACAAATACATGAACACATTCCCCTCTGCCCTCCCATACCCTGCCTGCCACATATACTAAGCGAGGGCCCCAGGAGTCACTGCCACTGAAAGTCAGCTGGCTCATAGACCACAAACCTTGTCGTTGAACAAGTCCGCCCCTCACAGACTGGCTTAGGAAGCATTTGCCTGTACTGTGTCTTACTGCAGGTTCAGTGAAATAGAGAAAATTCTCCCCCTACCTAGGGATAGGGAATGGTTAGAGGTCTGCATCCTCCAGATGTTGGCTAAAACATGATTATTAGAACGTGTTTAGAAAAAAGGAAATAGCCCAAGATGTTTACTAAAGGCATGAACCCATGAATTATATAGCCATTTCCAAAACATGCTGTATCAGGAAAGAGAGTGGGAGACCTGTAGGGACTAAATAAGCCACTGGACACTTCTCATCTCTGATTTCAGCTTCCCGTAAACATAGCATGCTGTATACCTTACAAAAGACAAGCTCACTGGCTCTTAAAAAAATGTTTCCTTCTTGAACTAGTGTTCTGGCTTAGTTGGGTGAGTAGAAAGCTCAGAAAGGGGGAGGAGGTTTACACTCTTTCTCTTAACCACTCCCTTCACATAAAATTTGCACACATCATCTAGGGGCTATAAACGAGTAATTTTCTCTTAGTATTGCTAGGCAGTCCCAAATGCAGAAGGAGATAAAAAACATGGATAGAATCAATAGCTTGAGGATTGATGCCCCTAAATGGATTAAAAACTGGCAGAATGAGGGAAGAGCAGTGACAACATGACGTGGATTTTCACTCACAACCAGTTAGAAGTTACTGTACTAGGGGTTTGGGTTGGGTCATGATGCAGTGCTGACTGGAGAGTTCCAGGAGTCGCAGCCGTGGCGTTGTGAAGTTCATGACCATGTTAGGCAATGGTATCAACCTCAGAGGCAGAACTAATGGGTATGAGGACATACCCATGAGAAACAGTTCAGCAGACTGGATAGCAGATAGGATGCTGAGGGTGATGAACAAGCTAGCCCTTGTGAACTTTCTTGAGCCCTTTAAAAATCAGCCCCATAATAGGCAAAGTTTATGGGGCAGCAAAACTGGCCCTTGGATCTGCTGGGGACAGAAGTAGGGGCGGTTGGGTAAGGGCTGGAAGTGACTGGTGCTTACTCTCTGCTGTAATGGGTTCACGTAAAAGAGAAGGGCCACAGGCATGAAGTTTATCAGAGATTCCTAAAAGGTCAGCATAGAAAATGGAAAGGGCACTGGATTTAGAGGAACTGAATTGCAGAGTTGGAAGGGTCGCGGAGGCCACCTAGTTCAGCCCATACCTGATTAAGAATCCCACTTGCAGCTTTCCCATCCAGCTTCTCATGAAGGCCTCTGATAATAGGTGACTCACTAATGATAGCTGATGTTTATATAACACTTTAAGTTTTGCAAAGCTCTTTACATGGATTATCCTTGTTCAAGTCTCATGACAAATCTGTGAGGTAGCTGCTTTTATTATCATCTCCATTTTACAAACGAGGAAACAGAGGCTGTGAGAAATTAAGTGACCTGTCCAAGGCCACATAGGAAGTGTCAGAGGCAGGATTTGAACGCAAATCCCAAGTCCAGAATTCAATCCACTGCACCACCAAGCTTCCTACACTACAATGTGTGCTACCCACCTTTATATAGCTCTTATTGCCAGGAATCTTTTCCCTTACATTCAGCTGAAATCTGTCTCCATAACTCCCCTCTGGGGCCAAGCAAAAATGAAACAGCTTTTCTGCCCTCTTCCCACTCCTCCCACCCCTCACAAGCCTTTTGTGGTACAGGTTAACCATTCTCAGTTCCTCAAATTGAACTTCCAGTGACCATCTTAGAGCCCTTCACAATCCTGGTTGCCTTTGTCTGGACACTCTCCAACTTTTATGAGTGCCCTCCTTAAAATGTGATGCCTGGAACTGAAAACAAGGCATGGTCTAATCAGAGCAGAGGCTAGTAGGACTACCTCCTCCCGTGTTCTAGACGTCCTGTATCTTGAGGCAGCCTAAGATGACATTAACTCTAGGCCCTGGGGATCCATTCCTGTGTGACCTTAGGAGAGTCCTCTAGGCCTCAGGTTCTTCAGGAAAATGAGAAATGTATATGATTTCTCAGGTCCCATTCAATTCTAAATCCTGTAATCCTGTGAAAAATGTAGGAGATAAAATCGGGGAGGACATAGAAGGGGAGCCAGGGAGAGGAGGATTTTCAAAGCAGATCCTGAGTAGGGAGGTCCCAGGAGATGGTAGGGTTCATGAGTAATGTGGTTTAGCGGGGGAATGGGAGAGGAAGGAGCCAAAGATCTCAAAAGTGAAGCAAAAGATGCTGTGGAGAAGGGAACAGGAAGCAGTGAGGATAAAGACCTGGGAAAGGGGAAAAAGGGAATGGGATTTTTGTTGGTAAAATAGGGAGGAAAGAAGCAGGGGGAGAAGGCTGAAGGAGAACCCCACATCTTACAAGGTGGAAGAAGGAAACAAAGTTTGAGTCAGTGGGAAGTGAGAGGAAAGTAGACATAAAAGGAATGAAGAATAAAGCTGGAACACCAGCTTCTTTACAAACCACCCAGGAAATATCGTGTGCATTGGACTGGGGAGCGTTTTCTGAACAAGACAAGTTATGTTCAGAACGTTAGAGACAGAAGAGATCCCAGAAGTCATTCAATCCAACCCATTCCCCAGAAAGAATCTCCATTTCCTGATTAAGCCCTCCAGGTGGGGAGGGGAAGGGAACAAGCAATTATCAAGTGCCTACTTTGTGCCAGGCATTGTGGTAAGTGCTTTACAGATATCTCATTTGAAATCCACAGCTTTCCTAGGCAGCCCATTCCCCTTTGGTATAGATGTTATCATTAAGATCCTCAAGCCTGGATTTCCCTTTGCAAGTTCCACACCCATTGCTCCTACTGTCTCCCTTTGGTGGCAAGCAGAACAATGTTAAACGGACATGACAGCTACTTTCAAATCCTTGAAGGTAAAACTCAACCAGATCTTTTCTCCAGGTTATCGATCTTCAGTTCCTTTAGCTGATCGTCACACATCAGTTTCACCATCCCAGTTGCCCTCCCTTGAATACTCTCCAGTTTATCAGTATCCTTCCTAAAATGTAGTGCCTAGAACTGAACATGACATTCCTGATGTGGCCTGATCTAGACAGAGAATACAAAAATTATTAATACTCCCCTAGACTTAGACACTGTGTGCGGATGCACTAAATACAGTCCAAGATCACTGGTGACTCATAATGAAATGGCAACTCAAGAAAATCCCCTAGGTCTTCTGATGAACTGTCTTCTAGCCACACCGTACTTGGGAAGTTGACTTTTTGAACTCCAGAGTAAGACCTCTAGCCCACTGCTCCAGCCTGTTAAGATCCTTTTGGATCTTGACAATTGTCGTTCTATGTGCAAAGCATCCCTCCCTGCCAGCTTTGTGTCATCCGGAGATTTGATAAACAGGCCTTATATGCCTTTATTTGAGCCATCAATTAAAAAAAAATGTTAGCTGACAATGGGCCAAGCAAAGACTGGAAACATCTTTCCAAGCTGACATAGAACCGTTGCCATTAATGACTGCTCTTTGCCTCTGACCTTTCTGTTGTCTAGCCTACATCTCTATCTTTTCCACATAAATAAAATGAGACACTTTGTCAATACAACCATAGTTTTTTTTAACATTCTCCTGATTTAAATGTATCTGTCAAAAAAAATTCATAGGATTATAGAGTTTCATAGTGCTCATGTAGTCTAATAGATTTAGTAGACTAGTTCTTGATGAACCTATGCTGCCTCTCGATGATCACTCCCTTTTCTAGATGTTAGGCAGTTAGGTGGGGCATTGCACCTAATGTCAGGAAGACTTGACTACAGCTCCAGCCTTAGACATTTAATAGGTGTGTGACTTCTCTGTGCCTTGGTTTCTCCATCTGTAAAATGAGGATAATAACAGCACCTATCTCCCAGAATTGTTGTGAGAATAAGATAATCTTTATAACAGGTGTTTTGCAGACCTTAAAGCACTACATAAATACTGACTATTATGTTCACTCACAGTTCTTTTGTTTTGTCAGAAACTGAATTCAAGTTTCACTGCCCTAGAGTTTCCACACTCCACTACTTACTACTGATATCAAATGGGGAAGCGTGATTTATTAGATAGATCCCTGGACTGGAGGTAAATAGACCACTGGAGGGTCTGCTACTGACTCACTGTGAGCAATTCACAGAACACATTGCACTCCTCTGGGTCCATTTCCCCATCCATGAAATGAAGGAAAAAATCCTCTCCTCTCACCTGAAGGTCCGAGAGGGGCCTTGTGAAAGATCACGTATATGAAGAAGGTTGAGCTCAGTGAGAGGAAATATCATGAAAATCTGATTCCTGAGTGTTGCAAGGAGTAATACCTTAGAAAAGTAACTTCCAAAGTAATAACAAAGGGGGATAGTCAATCTGGGTCCCGTACCAAGAGTGTTGTCCTCCACACAAACCCAAAGAAGACCCCCTAAGGGAAAAAGCCATTAGCAGCCTTTCCCCAGCTGATAACGCCTCAGGATCCCCTGTCTGGCCACTAGGTGGGGATGAGTATCACTTTAGGACCAGACAGGACACTTTACGTTTGAGGTGTTTTATTTGTCTTTGTTTGTTGTTGTTTGTTTGTCTTTGTTTTGTTTTGTTTTGGCCAACCTTTTCCTATCTGGACTGTTTTATTCTACCTGGGAGTAGAAAAACTAGAAAGCTAGAGCCTACTTTTATTGATGAGAGAGCCTCACGGATTACTAGACGGGATCAGCTATTCTGTTCATCTACTTTCACCCCACTGACTGGGATTAACTACCATGTACTACCAGAATCACTGAACCATTCTGGGCCTCCTAGTCTCCTCATCTGTGAAATGAGGGTGACTGACCTTCTAGCTCTAAATCCTATGAGCCTATGATCTTAGGCCATTTCTTCCACTTTGAAGATCTTTAGGGAAGCAGTGATTGAGCCCCTGAGACTTGTTTTAGTCCCATAAAAATTTAATATGGGAGGTCCTTATTCCAGTATAAACTAAGCCAACCCATTTCCCCCTGTATTTGGGGCTCATTTTCATCCATTCTGTGTTTATTGAAGAATTGACACTAATTATAACTGGAGTTCTTCAGGAGTGGTCAGTGACTCCTGCACATCCTCCAAATGTGATGGGGGTGTGACCATCACAAAGCTTAGATCTGTAGTCTTCACACAAGTGCAAAGATTCCAAGGAATCACTAGTCAGCTCACCAAAGCTCATTCTATTGCTACCTCAACATGCTCTGTGATCCCATGCAAGTTTTTGCTACTCTTTGAACATCCCTATCCTGTGGAAAACAACACTGACCCACAAAAGTGCTCAAAGGTGGGGGCAAAAGGTCGTCAATCACAATACTCTGGGAAAAAAAAAACCATTCCCTACTGTTTCTCAATATCAAGAGAAGGACTGATTGCTCCGAATCCCATTATGGGAAAAAACTAGGGGAAGTTGAGAAATGGGCATATTTTCCCAACATGGTCAGGGAATGAGGTACCTGACTTTAAAAAGCTACTAAGATTGCTGCTAGTCTCTGCTGCCAGCCCTCTTACCAGTCCCCTAGACTTTTATTAGGAAGACCAAAGATAGGGTAAGTGACATATCAAGGATAATATTGCCAAGAGGAACCCTTATTAAGTAGTCCTAATTACTACTTAGGAAATGACTGGGCAAAACCTAGAGCCAAGTAATAAGATGAGATCCAGCCCTAGGACTCGAGGTTCCAGAAGATATTCTAATATACACTGTGCTTTCTTTCAGACCTCTGTGGTCCAGAAAAGCTACTCTGTTCTGACCCCAAACCTAATGGCCCAGGAGATTCAGAAATGCCTCTCTGAGGAATCTAAGTACATGCTGCTCTTCAGTCTGGGCTTGTTTGGATAACTCCTGGGTCAGGAGAAACACCCTACTTCTGCTAAGACATCAGAGCCAACCACATAATGCCCTTTCTCATCCCGTGGTAGAAAGGGACCAGACCTAATTTGTGTGGTTGTGAGTGGGGAAGTGAGGGGAAAGCAGAAGAGCAGACAATGTTCCTTCTTGTCCAGCAGTGAATGGAGGCCAGACCCAGGTAAACAGTAATGAAGGAGTAGAGGAAGAGGAGTTGCTACCAGCATTATACAAAGCCATGCGGAGCAAAGGGAGTCATATCTACTATTAAGTGCTATGAGATTAGGCTGGGGAAAGACAGAGCCCAGAGTGAGATGGTGGGCCCTTGACTTAGCCATCAAAGTAGGTATCCTTCAGTGTGTAGAGCTTAGAGTGGAGCCATAGAGCAAAGCCTGATGGTTGATGAATAGATGAAAACAGTGATAGTCCCTGGGTCCCGTCCTGAAGTTGTTGATGATGATCCATACTGAAGAATCTGGGCCCGTCAGACATCAGACCACCTACCGATGACAGAGCAGCTCATCGTGAACTCCCATTAAACCCAAGTCCAAAGATACTTTGCCAAAGTGTGTTATATAGAGAGCCATGACATGTTTGGAAGGGGCATTATAAAAAAGGCTCCCTGATGCCCTACTTATCACCCTGGGGTAGAATACTGAGGATGGGGATCAGGCAGGGGCATGTACAAGACCAAGGGAAGGTGATTTATTCCAAGTTAGGGATCCTTGCCCTCTTGCATGTGGTTATTCATAGGTGGGGTGGAGATAAAACCCAGGACATATCCCACCCCTTCCTCTGCCGTGCTCCATCCTCAAGTCTTAATTCATGACTGTGAGCCATACCCCATTTCTCCTATTCCTCCACTGGCACTGCCGAATTCTCCTTGTTCTCTGATGGAATGGCGAGGTAGTCAGACCTGAGGGAGGAGAGGCAGGGGAGAGGGTCAGCCCCTGAAGTCTCCAGAAGGGAAAGAGGAATGAAGGGGAAGGAGGCAAGGCCTAGGGGGCCAGAATTTCTATAGGACAGACTTGCCCCTTCCTTATGGCTCTGTTTTTGAGAGAGAAGAGATGATCACTTCAGAGACAGGACCACTGATTCAATGAGAATTATTATGAGGGTTAGTAGGTTTGGGTTGCCTATATTCAACCCTCCCCAAATGACTGGAAGCCGATACAATCTTCCATTCCATTTTTACTTCTTTGGGTGGCTATGTAGAAAAAGCTGAAAGATTGACTTTGGGGGCAAGGTTAAGCAACAGGTTGGCACTTAGAGGATAAGAACTCCAGTTGTGGCTGCCCACCATCTCCTGTGACCTTGGGTTACAATGATTAGCCTCGATTTTCTTAACAATGAAATCAGTAGAACCCGGGTGGTTCTTGTAAATCACTCCAGAAATAGGAAAGCTTCTCTCCGATGGGCTCCACACCTGCCCTTAGAGCACAGGGCTAATAATCACCAGGTGGGTCACTTACTAGAGGTGTAACCATGGGCAAGTCCCTTCATCTCTCTGGGCCTTAATTTCCTCATCTGTAAAATGAAGGGATTGAACTAGGTGCTCTCTGGGGTCCTTTTGAATTGTAAAGGCATATGATTTTATCATATTTCTGGTTGGCGACTTTCCAAACATGAGCTCATCCATACACATTGTTGCCCAAGATCACTTGGCCAGTCCTCCTTGGGTGATCCAGTGGTTTTCCAAAAGGATTAATGGAAAAGAGTCAGAAACTTGTTGCCCTTGTTTTCCAGATAGATAGGTCACAACATCCATGAACTGTTCATTTTAGAATGATCAACTGTCAACTCTAGATTATCCATAAAGGTTATATGTATTGCTTAATATATTGTTGGGGAGGGGGGAAATCTTGCTTTCAAATTCTTAAAGACATCATCAAGGAGAATAGATTAGAAAGATACTAATTAATACTACTCATTATCTCCTATATTTTTTCTTTCAAATGTAGACAAGGGAAAAATCTTGAAAAATTACAATCACCTCTCTCAATTTAGGAAAGGTAAGAAAAAACAAATGCTGGTTAATATAGTAAGTCTGATACTGCAAGTTCCTCTTCAGTGATGCTTTTTAAGCTGGTGCTTTGCATCATTCTGGAAGGTAATGCTATCTCCAGCAGGGAATGAATAGAGAACTTCTCTGAGTATCTCACAATGGGAAAGCTAGGTAGTCTCCTACCCCCACCTCCAGTTTCCATTGAATCCAGACTTTTTTGTGTGGCTGCATTCTACTGAAGTGTTGTGAACCCTGATTGCCCAACACATCCACAAAAGTAGCCAAATCCATCCCTAAATCCATCCCTAAATCCAATAAACATTCACTGATCTCACAAAATCCATGTAATTCTATCAATAATATTAATAACTAATATTTATACAGAGCTTTAAGGTTTGTAAAGGGTTTTACATAAGTTATTTCATTTGAGCCTCACCAAAAAAAATTAACCTTGAGAGGTAGGTACTGTAGATCTTATTATCCCCATTTCACAGATGAGGCAACAGAAGTTCAGAGGACATAAGTGATTTTCACATGGTCATTTGGCTACTAAGTGTTAGAGGTAGAAGTTAAACCCTGGTTTCCTGATTCCAGGTCCAACACTCTCTACATTACACCATGATGAACCTTCCAGGAGTCAGGAAGACATGAGACTTCATTCTACCTCTGACACAGCTATTGGGCCTTCTAAATCATGAAATCTCTCTGAGCTTCACTTTCCTTATCTACAAAATTCGATTCTCACACCTATGATACCAGGAAACTTTGTCTGCTCAAAAAAATTGTCCAAGATTTGATTGAGTTGAGTTAACACATATGAGAGGTTGTAACATTAATTCTGTTTGATTCAATCAGCTCTAGAAGGCAATGGAGCACAGTAGAAGGAGCACCAACTCTAGAGTCAGAGCTCAGTTTCAAGTCCCAATTTCTAATACTTGCTACTAATGTGCCATAGCGTTGAACTTCCTTAGGCCGCCTTAGTTTGCACATCTGAAAAAGGATGGGGTTAGACTAGTTAGCCCTGACGTTTCTTCTGGTCTGAATCAATGATCCTATCTGGTTTTGCTTTAAGAACATATTACAAAGGTCACACCCAGGAGACAGAAGTGTTTTTAGCCTAGATCAGAGGTTCTTAACCTTTGGCTGTCTGATGATGCCTATGGACTCCTTTTCAGAGTAATGTTTTTAAATGAATAAAATAAGTAGGGTTACAAAGGAAATATATTGAAATACAGTTACCAAATTAAAAAAAAATAGGTTCATAGACCCCTAGTTAAGATTCTTTGGCTTAGAGAATCCTTAGAGGGAGTATAATCTCTGTCTTCAAGCATTTGAAAGGCTATGCTAAAGAAGCAGAACTAGGAATGATTATGATACTTGGTGTAAGAGGGAAAACTAGAATTAGAACGTGGAAGGGGAAGTTACAGGGAAAGAGATTATCAACTTAGTGTAAGGAAGACCTTCATAACATTGAAAGCTGTTTAAAAAAATGAAATGGGCTATCTCAAAAGACAGTGAGTTCCTTCCTTGTCCGTAGAGGGCTTCAAGCAGAAGTAGGATGATCTCCCACTTGTTGGGATGTTGTAAAGGAAGGTGATCTCCTAGGTAGGGGTTGGACTCTATGGTCTCTCCAAGGTCATTGCCAACTCTAAGATTCTGTGATTTTGGGACCTGATTGAAATTTACAGAATCGTGAGGGGGATGGATTGTTTTCCAAATCCTGGGACACTAAAACTAAGGCCTTCCTTCAAGCTTGAAAGAAATGGTGTCTTTTTAAAATAAAAGGACAAATAAACAGAACAACTCCTTTGTACCATAAAAAGTAAACTTGGGAAACTCATTATTCCAAAGGATGGCGCTGGCACTAGGTTCACAATAAGTTTGAATGTATGCTTGGGATTATAGCTCTAGGGCACCTTGTTAAGGGAAGTAAAGAATGTGTAGGGCATATTCCTAACCCTTTGAGACTGAACACATGGAGGACGACTCTTCCTTCCCAACATAATTTCCTTTGGTGTCCCAGTCAGAATCAGAACGTGCCCATATTTGGAGACTTGTGTTCTTATGCCTCCATTGGTGTGGATAATTGAGAGTTGACCACATGCTCACTTGCTTGAGGTTTTGCATGTAATGTATCTTCACATTTAATGTTGAAGTATTGAAGAAGGATCAGAATAAACTCTTTTCCCTCCCTATACTGTCTGGTTATGCCCCCAAACAATTCCAAAACATGTTTGTCTGGATTGTTTCAACCTAGAAAAACTAGAAGGTGGCTTTTTTAAGGTTTGTCCAAATTCAGTTACAACACAAGATTGAACCTTCTGCCCACAGAACAGAAAGCTAAGGCGTGGTTCTCCCAAGCCTGTGGTCCCCAGTGAGAGGTGATGGGCTTGGGCATCAAAGGACTTACGCATTTTCTTGAGCTGCCTCTTCAGCCTTGGAAACCTTCCTGTAACAATAAATCATCTCGATGAGTAGCCACAAAGTGAGGAAGACCAGGAGGATGTACATCATGATTTCTGAGACCACCGAGGTGAAGTCCTCTCCAGCTAAGGAAGACAGAAGACACTAGTGAAACTAACCCCTCTGGCACCAGGACACCCAACATATATATAAAATATATATTACACGTAATAATATGTAATACGTTATATAATATATAATAATATGTAAACATATAATATATAATAACCAAGGGAGTTAGGAGTTAGTTATATAGGGCCTGGCTTTAAGGGCAACCTGGAAAGCAGGGGATGAAACCAGTCATGAAGATAAATACCCACACATCGAAGGAGTATTGGAAATTGTAAAATAGTCTAATGAGAGCCAGAAATGTGATATTAATAGAAATATCCTAGTTCTCCTTTCTATTCCCTTTCAGTTCTACTTGTATTAAATTGATGGCTACTGGAGTATTTGTTACCCCTGTGTGGATCCTGTGTTCTTTGGGCTTCTAACAATGATAGGATCACAGAGTTGTTAGTGACCTTAAAGTTCTCCTAGTCCAACTCCCCTCATTTTACAGATAAGGAAATTTGAGACCCACAAAGGTGAATTGACTTGCTTAATGTAACACAAGTAGCAAAACTGGGAATTCAAGTCCTCTGGCTCCACATTCTCTTTCCACTTCCCTGAGCTTTCTTCTCCCACTCCTCAAGACCACTTAAATGTGAATCCCTATTCAAAAACTGGGGAGGGGTTTGGACTATACTCTCTCCAAGGTCTCTTCTCTCACTGGAACTCCATGATCACTTTCCTCCAGGGGGCTTGACACTGAGGATCCCAAGGAAGGATTAAGGGATCAAGGGAGAAAAAAGGAAAGGAGGGACAATTTGTAAGGATGGAGCCCATTTGATCAACCAGGGACAATAAGAAGGGTGAGCCCTTGGGAAAGTGTCTGAATTGTGAGGTAGCCACTGAAGGGGAAGAACAATCCTGTGATTTTATTATTATTTTTTATTTTTTGGTGAGGCAATCGGGGTTAAGTGACTTGCCCAGAGTCACACAGCTAGTAAGTGTTATGTGTCTGAGGCCAGATTTGAACTCAGGTCCTCCTGACTCCAGGGTCAGTGCTCTATCTAGTGTGCCACCTAGCTGCCCCCCAATCCTGTGAAATTAGAACTAAGTACTCTGCTCAGTCTTTGGTCTATTTGAATATTTGCTCTGGTTCAGAGTGATTCCTTCTATGTGTGGATCTTGAGAGGGATTCTCAGGAGAGAGGAGCCAATTGAAAAAAAAAAAGGCAGGAGGCCGAGAGGGGTACCTGATTGGCTGCCCGTGAGAATCACTACTACAGCATTTCTGCCATGGCACCAGCAGAGGGAGCTGGTTACTTCTCCCCAGGGAGTTAGCCTAAGTGTTAAAGACATGGGAAAGAAAGCTGGTACCTGTGGATCAGTCAGATTGTAATTTTGCTTTTTACATTTCTGTTTCTCCCCCTGTCTCTTAGGTCTACTGACTGGCAGGGACCACCACTGTATTCAGGAAAGTGTAACATCTAAATAACGTTTAGTATGATGGAAGGAACATTGAACCTAGAATTCTGAGAAGTCAGTTCCTCTCCAGGCTCTGACATTGCTACATGTAATGAATGACATGTCACATCCCTCAGTTTCTTTATCAAATGTTGATAATGATGCTTACATGAGATTATTGTTAGGAGAGATTTGGAAACCTTAAAGGGCCCTATACAGTTTTTCTTTTTTTTTTTTTTATCAGCAGAGAAAGTGGTGGGCTCAGAGAGTCAGGATTCTAGGGTCTCATTTCTAGAAGCAACCCTGAAGTTACTTGGAGTGGTCCTTTCATCCTTCCCTCACACTCCTTATCCTGTTTCTCCATTCAGGGGCAATGATAACAATGGAGGAGGTTAGGAATAGGCCCCTCTCAGGCAAACTAAAGGAAAGGGAATTGTGATTTAATCTAGAAAAGAGAGGACTGAGAGGGACTGCATATCAGTCTTCTGGTAAATTAAGGCACGTCTGGTCTTTTTAAATGCCTGAGAAATAGTTTTCTGTTCCCATGTAGGACAGGAAAACACATATATTATAGTGGAAGAGATTACTAGCTAAAAGAAGTGTTATAAATATCAAGGCACTAGCAAGGGAGGTTGTAGAAGATGTTTCTCTGGATATTTTAAAAGAAAGACTAAGGAGCCATTACTCTGGGAATGATTTAGAGGGAGGAGGTAGCCTACCTGCCCAAAGTCCCTGGGGGATGAACCAAATGGCTTCTTAAGTATATATATATATATATATTTCTTAGCCCCAAAGGTTAGTGATCCAGAAGAAAGAGGGGAATTACAAGGTGGAGGCCTTGGGAATTCTAGAAGAATGATGGTTCTCATAGATACCAGAGAGTTATTGCTATTTTGGTTTGTACTCAAACCAATGACTGACCATCCTTCTTTTTTGAAGATATGAGCCTAGGGAACAGGCTAAAATCAATCTATGCCTAATCTTCCAGCTGGCAGCTTCCCCCTTCTTAGAAGAGGATGGTGAGAGGGAAGGCAGTAAGAAGATAAGGGATCAGAGAGCCAACTCTATCTAGGAGCTGCGTGGACCATTGAAAAGGCTGATATACCAGTTATAGTTTGAGATAGTTCTCCTTTTCTACTTTTGAAGCTTTTCATAGACTTTCATGAACTAGGATCCCATCAGCTACCTCTGAAGAAGACCTGTAAAGACCTGTGCTCTGATCTTACCTTCCTCAGTGACTTTGAGGGGGATGAGCCTTGTGGTCTTCACAAAGGGACGATGTGAGTCAAATTCAAACTCCCGGGAGACATTGCAGGTGTAGATACCAGAGTCATTCAGTGTGACATTGAGCACAGTGAGGGAGACATCCTGCAGGTCTTTGCTCCCATTCCACTGTAGACGGCCTTGGAAGGGGCTCTCCACTTCCTGGTGACCATTTCGGAACTCATAGATCTGAAATCAGAGAGACAGAAAGAGGAGAGAGGTCCAGAGGGGGCAGATGTGGAGTGAGGATGAGGGCATGAAGGGAACAGATGTGGATGGGTAGAGGAGAAATGAGTAGCAAGGAAAAGGAGAAGGCAGAGAGAAAGGTAAAAAGTATAGAGGACTGGGGCAAAGGCAGGTGGTGAAAGGTAGTGGGAGAGGGAAAAGAAGAACAAACAAAGGAGGTGGAAGGAAAAGGCCAGATGTTGGGGATGGAATGGGAGAGTGAAGATTGAGGATAGAAAGGGATTAGAAAAAAAGGAGCACAAGACTATAGATTCAGAGTTGTAAAGGATCTTTGATCCAACTCCTAGGTTTTAAAGAAAAAAGAGTGAGGTTCAAAGAGGTTACACCCAAAGTCACACAAGTATTAAGCAACAGGGCCAGAATTGAAACTCATTTTCTTGGATACCAAATCCATCACTTTTCCCATTATGTCACCCTGTCCTCTCTAGTAATGAAAGTAATGGAAACAAAAGTGGTGCATGTGTGAATGTGGCTAGGTGGATAGAAAGAGGTGAAGACCAAGAGAATTTTGATAGAATTCAGAGCTGGAAGGGACCTCAGGGACCATTTGTCCAGCCCAAACCAGAATCCTTTGGACATCACATTGAGCAGTTGGTCACCCAGCCTTCACTTGAAGTTTCTTTAGTAATAAGCCCAGAGTCCTTGAACTCTACAGCTTAACTGGCAAAGCTGATCCTCCAAACAAAAGGATGTGGGATTACTCCAATGTCTTCCCACAAGGGGTAGGGAGGTTGTCACCTATTGTGTGTAAACTTGGGTTCATTGCCTGGCAGATGATTGTAGTTCCAAAATTCTACCACTCTCTGATCTCCAATATATATCTCCTTTCACCTCAGAGGTTCTTAACCTATTCCTAAAGGATCTATGGAGAGATTTCAATTGTTCTCTGAACTTGGAATGGTAAAAAATGCACTAAGGTAATTAGTTTCCTTTGTAATCCTATGTATTTTATTTTTTATATTTAAAAACATTATTCTGAGGAACTAAAAGGCTTCACCAGACTGCCGGGGGAGAGGTCTATGACTCACACAAAAAATACCTTAAGAACCTCTGCTGTACACCTAAGTTCCCTATTAAGTTGGGAGGGTTAGAAAAATACTTGTTACCACTTCCTGGCCCCTCATACCTTATCTGACCAGGCCGAAGATGTCGATGTCTTGCTCAGCTGCTCAGACATACAGGGAAAGGAATACGGTATCAGTGTTCTAGGTATATTGTTTCCCTTTGACCAGATGTTTGGACTCTGTCCCCAGCTGACTATTCTATATTAGTCAGGTGCAAGGCACATATTACAGATGCTTAGTGAATCACTGTTGGACACAGCTCTTCCTGGATTATTCTACATTAGTGTGAACCTCTGTATCTCAGAGTTGCAAACAAATTTGCTTGTGAGAAAATCAGCATTTTGCTATATTTACAAGGAAAAAATCCTAGGCATTGGTCACATCCTATTTGATAAGCCAGAAAGATTTTCCCTCTATCACTATAAGTATGAATAGGATTGAGGAATTTGTAAATTACTTTTCAGTCTCTTTTTTTCTTAATTAGCCTGTTTTACATGGAAAAGGGTATGGAAAGAGCAATCAGGAGCCTAAGCTCTAATTCTGGCTCTGCTCCTAGCAGGCTGTGTGACATTGAGCATTCTTCTCTTGGGTGAACCCCAGATTTCTCATCTCTAAAAGGAAAAGGTTGAATTAGACAGTCTTCCAACTTCAGCATTCTACAAGTCTAAATAGAGAAGGCTGGGGTCTGGCAAAGCCCTAGCTTGACCACAAGCTGCAGTGATTGAAAATAAACATAATAATTAGCATTTGGGAAACTCTTTAAGGTTTGCTAAGTGCTTTAGGTGGGGCATTCCTATTTTACAGATGAGGAAACTGAGGCTGAAAGAAATTAAGTGGCTTGCCCAAGGTCACCCAGCTAGTAAATACCTGAGGCAGGATTTGAATTCAGGTCTTCATGACTCCAAGTCCAATACCCTAGCAACTGGGGCACCTAGCATCTCCTGGAGGAAATTGCTTGTAGATCCTGGATGTAGTGTAGGAAGCAAGGGACAAGCTGACTGGTGACAGGAAAAGGAGAGTAGAAGGGACAGAGAACCTCTGCACTAGGAGAGGCCTTGAAAGGACATTTAGTCTATCTCTGTCCATGTCATGCAGATGAGAATCCATCTTGTTTTTAAGGCCTCAAGCCCTGGAGGGGAAGGCCAGGGAGAAGAGGTGAAATTCAAATAGATTAAAATTCTGTCTAACTGTTTGCTGGAGGAGGAGGGGTGGGGTGGGGATGAGGCAGAGATTTGTTGAGAGGAAGTAAGGTGTAGCAGAACACATGTTAGAGTTGGAGATAGAAGACCTGTATCAGGGGTTCAAGTCTTGCCTCTAATATTTACCACCTAAGTAGGCCTCTTTGGCCCTACTGTTTCTCATTTGTAAAATGAAAGTATCTGAAGTAACTACATCACGGAATTGTTGGAAGGCCTGTAAACACATAAGCCATTATGACTGGGGAGAAAGATGAAACTATGGGCTAAAGATGAAGCTTGGGAATTCCCTAGGTATTTCAAGGATCCATGCTACTCAGCACCCCAGAGCCTTGAGATCTTGTTGCCTACAGTGCCTTTCTCTGAGGCTCAACTTCACCAAAGCTGTCAATTAGCCACAGAGAGAGAGCTGAGTGTATGGAAGTGCCTTCTCTCCAGAAGTCAACAAAAGTAACAGAAAGTGCCAAATGGCTATACATACAAGGAAATCTTTACCGCCCTCTGGCCGGTAAAACCATTCCACCACTGTACTGGCTGTCACTTCTTCTCTCTTCATGCAGGAGATACACCGGAGTTTCATCTGTTTGCCCTGGACTGCTTCTGTCTCGGAAGGGACTTCCACGCAGACTGGAAAACAAACATGAACTGGAGAGGGAAATGGAGTAGGGCAGTTAGGGGGTGGGGCAGAAGAGAGGCATTGGGAAGGGAGACCAGAGAAGAGGGGAGGGAGAGAATAGAGAGATAAAGAACACAAAATGATGAAATAATGACTGGGGGAAATAGGAGAGACACAAAGGCAATCCAACATTCAACCAAACATTAAAGTACTGACTATGCAGAGCATGATGCTAGGTACAAGGCAGATAAAACTATGTATGACTGAATCTTTGATCTCTGCCCTTGTGGTATTCATTATCTCCAGAAATAATATACAAAAATAATTATAATAAAAAATCGCTTAATCTTCTTTTACCTTGCTAAGGCCTCTCTTACAACTGAGTGTCTGGTAGGTACAGGGAGGGTCTTCTGTAGTACTAATAAGGTTTACAAAGTACTAAGGTCACAACTACCCTCTTAGGTGCATAATACAAGTTTTATTAAAGAATTATTGCAATTTTATAGTTGAGGAAACTGAGGGTCGGAGGAGTAAAAATGGCTTTGCATTTACTTCATTCTTTAGATGAAGGTTTGGTAGAAGAAAGAATAGGAAAAGAATTCTAGTTGAAGGACATAGAGGAGGAGAAAGAAGACATGGTGGAGGAGATTTGGAGAGTTTGGGAATTCTGAAGAATGCCAGAGATTGAATTTGAGTATGGAAATTTGGGAAGATTCAAGGAGAAGTCAAAGGGAGACTGGAAGTTGAAGGACCAGAGCCAAAGGATAAGGACTGTAGTAGGAAAAGGATTCAAGAAGAAAGAAAAGGAGCAGAAAGGAGAAGAATTTGCGTTAAAGGGACAAAAAGAGGAAAGAGGAAAACAGAGGAAGAGGCCTAGAAGAATTGAAAGAGAAACAGAAAGGGAATGGAACAGGTAGGAGAAGGAAGTCTGTCAGGCAAGGCAAAAGAATTTAGATATGGCTCTCAACATGCTCACATTTGCTCTTTTGCATTGGCTAAGTGATTGTCGCCTATGTTCAATTAGAAGAGCAGGTAAAGGTGCACCTCAGAAAATGTTTCTTCACTTCTCAGGCTATCAGGAAGAATGAAGCATTTCTTTTAAAAAGTGACTTTGCCTCTTTGACCCTGTTTCCATTTTCTGTTCCTTTCCCCTTTGCCACATTCTGCCACCTTCCACCTCTCTATCCTAACCTTCTTGGACAGGTGAAAAGTGACCATCCTGCCCTGCATAGAGAGGTGCAAAGTGGCAGAGTATAATGAAAGGGAAGGAATAAAAAGAAAGTTTGAAGATGTAGGAAGTAAGGAGATACTGAGGGCACAATGTAGCAGCTATTTGATGATCTGATAACAAAAGTAATGAAATCTACTGTTTTTCTTGGTCATGGATCCAAAGAACCTCCTGAGACTGGTCAGATTGGATGACTGTGGTGATTAGCATGGGCACAGATATTACTAGAAGGAAATCCTGAAAGCCTCGCCATAGACTAAGTCACAGGCAAAAAATTTAAGACTTTATCAGCACAGGTGGTGTTAGGTAAAGGTTAAGGTTGCTGAAAGAAAGGTAGATTTGGAAAGTGAATATCTGGTTAAAAAGGTGATGTCTGAGAATAAGATTTTAATTCTGGACCATGGCTTAAAATACAGAAATGACATGCATCTGGACAGGGATAGAATACACCTAATATGAGCTTTTCAGAATATTTGCCTAAAGTTTGCAAATCTAATTAAAATAGTTTTATACTGAAAAAGAAGTTAGAAGGATAATAATGCTGATATATACATACATATTTATTACAAATTTTATATGAACATATTATATATTTAATATAGCCTTTTTTTAAGGGAGGCAATCAGGCTTAAGTGATTTGCTCAGGGACACACAGCTAGCAAATATCTGAGACCAGATTTCAACTCAGGTCCTCCTGAACTTAGCTCTATCCTCTGTACCATCTAGCTTCCCCTTTAAAATTTTTTTGTCTATTTAAATATATGTATATATACGTACACATATATATACATATATATGCACATACATATATATATATATATATATATATATATATATACACACACACACACGCACATATATATACACACATATATATCTCTACTGGGTTGGATGCCATGGAGATTGCAACCAATCTATGCCTGCCCCTCCTATGTTACTCTTATTTATCTTCCCAAATGTTTCCAGCTGGGAATTTATCCAATGTGCTAAAGGTGTTGCTCTTGTCTGATAATTTTGTGGATAGCAATGGAGCATATAGGTTGCCCATTGGTTATCCCTCCCTCTTGCTATTTGGACAGCCCATCATTTTTATGGTCAAACACTTCTCTGATGATGCTACTTTACATGTATAATTCCACTTTGGTTAGGTGTTGCAGCCTGCTCACACTCACTGAATGTCTTTTTACTGTCCCTTGGATTATTCTCAATTTCATTTATTTGGAGAATGCAGTATTTCATGATTCATAGCCATGCAACACCACCAGAATATTATTGTTAAAAAATGAGGAAGAAGTTTGAGGCCATTAAAAAAAAAGCAGCACAATTTTCTCAAAGTGATTCAACCTGCTTTCCTCATCCTATTCAGTTTTGGGTTCAGTTAATTGTTTATTTGCAGTGTTTTCTTAGGCTATATGTACTGGTTGTTGAGCTTTATAGCTTATCCCTTCAAATAAATATCATAGTCTGTGCATTCTTCTTTCACTTTGTTATTCCTGTGTGGATAATTAGGCTCAGCTCTTTTTGGTGATTATGGATCTCATTTATGTAAAACATTTAAAATTTCATTTAATAGTAGTTGTTATTTTGAGATGTATACTGAGTTAAAAGTCATGAAATTAACTTTGCAACACTTTCAATAGTGTATTATTACCTTCTTTTTATAAAATCAACTGTTTGACTCTTTAGATAACTTCTTTCTAATTAAATTAGTCAATTTTTCCCCACTTGGACTGTCCAGTCTGCTAATGTACAAGGAAACTGAATTACCAGCATACTTGTACTTAGTAATTGCTTAACAAATCTTTGTTGACTGATTAAATGACACCGATTTTATATATGGGCCACTGCTTCTGTGGATAGAGTGATTAGATCTTGATTGGCTCAGTAAAGTTTTCACAGAAGAGGTGAGTTTTAAAAGCAGTCTTGACTCTTTTCTGGAACAAAGTCAAGACTGTGCAGAAAGCTGAAATTGGGAACAAGGTGTTTATGGAATCATAGAATCTGAGAGTTGATGGGGGAAACTCAGAGGTCATTTAGTTCAACCATACTTGAAACAGGACCTCTCCCTCAACCCACTTCCCATTACAATATAAACTTGTTGCCTTTTTTTGTTTGAAGCCAATTCTGTTTCTGGAATGTTAGTCCTTACCGCAGAGAGAACAGTTGTAGGACTCAGCCTTGAGGAGAAATCCAAATTAATAAATAAACAGTCCATCTTTAGTGGTTATGTGCTCAAAGTAGAAATGGTGACATGTAGTACAGAATGTAAAATTATTTTTCATTCCATCTTTTTCTTTGACTAATGTAGCATATGTTCTAGAGCCACTCTCCCAACCCCCATTTGCATTGGTAGGTCAGCTCCCAAAAAGGTAGCCACATTTCCCCTCTTGGTTAGAGAAGACCTTGAGAAACTAGATGTGGTTTTGAATTGCCACAGTTTACAAGTTCCCTACTGGTCAGCTTCCCCAATTGATTATTAGGAGATATCAATTAGTCATCCAAATTTAGTTAGCTTTTAAGTATTTAATCTTTAATACAAAAGAACCCCCCCAAAGTATGACATTCTGCCACACATTCATTCAGAGACAAGGGTAGAGTGGGCTCAATCTTAGAGCCCATGTATATTAAAGAGGGTAACTCACAGCTACTGTAAATCATTTTGCTATAGTATTCAAGGTGTTCCTCTTGGTACAGATTACTTTTTCTGCTGTGATCCTGGTACAGTCTTCAATCTACAAACAAACACTGCCTCCAAATGTTGCTGGGGGTACTGCTAGGATTCTGATGAAAAGTCTAAATCCAATGGTTGTCTGAAGTTCTTTTCTGGCCAAGTGATTGGGATGGGGATAGAGAATACCAAGTTCAAGGCTAACACTGGGTCTCTTCTATTCCCCAAGTGACCCCTTCTTATGGGATTCTCATCTGACTCTCCACTCACCTGAATCTCTCAGTTCCAAGTTGGCTCAATATTTTATAGACAACCTATGGGGCATGACCAAGTTTCTTCATGCAATCCAAATATACTTCCTGGGGAGCCTAATTCATCTAATTGGCTTTCAAAGATATTTAAACTGATCAAGGTCTTTATCCACTCTTAAACTAAAACCTAAGACTGATTGGTTCAATAAAGAAATGCCCCTACCCCAGTTAAAGGGGATCAGTTAAAATATCAGAGCATAAAATTTTGATGCTTGTTTCAATTGGCTGGGATGCTTACTTTAATTGGCATAGGCTAGGTCAGAAATTCTTAACCTTGGGCTCAATAATTTATTTTTATTTTTGGGTTTTAAAATTTTTTTTATTAATTTATTTTGATTTATCAACAATCATCAATAGCTTATTTTAAAAAAATATTTTGATAACTGTTTTTTTATTAAGAGCTGCCTCTTTTTACTTATTTTTTTAATTTAAATTTTTTTATTTTTTCCATATGCTTTTGAGTTGAAAATTTTTCTCCCTTTTCCTCCCCCCCACCCTCCCCAAGATGGCACACAATCTGATATAGGCTTTACTTTTACATACCCATTAAACATATTTTCACATTAGTGAAGTTGTAAGTAAAAATTAAAACCAATACGAGGAACCATCAGAAAGATGAAACAAAACTCAACAGAAGGTAAAAATAAGTGATAGCGATTCAACTTCCATAGTTCTTTCTTTGGATGTGAACAGCATTATCCATCCTGAGGCCTCTGGAAATGGCTTAGATCCTCATAATGCTGAGAAAGGTTCAGTTTAACAATCTTAGTCATTGCATAATGTGGCTGTTGTTGTGTACAAAGTCCTCTTGGTTCTGCTCACTTCACTCAGCATCAGACCATATAAGTTTTTCCAGGTTTTTCTGAAGTCAGCCTGTTCATCATTTCTTATAGCACAATAGTATTCCATTACATTCATATACCACAACTTGCTCAGCCATTCCCCAATTGATGGGCATCCTCTCAATTTCCAATTCTTTGCCACCACAAAAAGAGCTGCTGTGTATATTTTTGTACATGTGGGTCCTTTTCCCATTTGTTTGATCTCTTTGGGATATAGCCCTAAAAGTGCTATTGCTGGGTCAAAGGGTATGCACATTTTTGTAGCCCTTTGGGCATAGTTCCAAATTGTTCTCCAAAATGGTTGGATCATTTCACAACTCCACCAACAATGTATTAGTGTTCCAATTTTCCCACATCCTCTCCAACATTTATCGTTTTCCTGTTTTGTCATGTTGGCCAATCTGATAGGTGATAACTGTATTTTTTTAAACTAAGCAATGGAGTTAAGTGACTTGCCCAGGGTCACACAGCTAGTAAGTGTCAAGTGTTTGGTCTGAGGCTGGATTTGAACTCAGGTCCTTCTGACTTCAGGGCCAGTGCTCTATCCACTTCACCACCTAGCTGCCCCTTGATAACTGTATTTTAATACAGTTAATTTCTTTTGTGATCCTGTTACTTTATTTTATATTTTTAAAAACACCATTCTGAGACAAGACCTATATCATCTCTGAGTTTGTAGTACTGGAGGCCTTATAGTAAACCAAACAAATCTCACTGCTTCTCTTCTCCAGGTTGAACTCAAGCTGAATACATAGCAATCAGATGAAAGACTGACTGTCTTAGAAACTTGACTCATTTCAACAAAAATGTATTAAGTGCTTACTTAGTAACACAAATAAATAATAAAGAACATTGTGCTAGGCATCAGGAAAGATTGAGAACTTAGAAAAGACATTGTTGATGACCTCATGGAGTTTTTCCAGTCTACTTGAACTATCCAGTTGTCTCTCCCTCTCTCTTTCATAACCCCCCTGTTCTGATATTTTACCGTTTATACCTCTACTTTACAGTATATGCACTGTCCTTGTCCGTGTGCTTCTTATGTCTTCCTATATGTGTTGGTCTGTTCCTCACATCCATTTGAGAGGAAGACTGTGCCACTATCCCTTTGGTGTACCTTTATTACATCCAGTACTAATTAAGTTGTAGATCTCACTGTAGTCTAAACAGAAATGGATTTGAAATCTGAGAACCTGGTTTTGAATCCTGGCTCTTCTTACTTACAACCTGTGTGACCTTGGGCAATTTATTTCTTCTTTCTGAGCCTCCATTTACTTATCTGTAAAATGAGGTGCTTGGATTGGGTGACCTCTAAATTTCCTTCTTGATCTAAATCCTATGAATTTTTGAGTAACCTTGAACAAATCGCTTGACCTTCTACTGCCCTAAGTTTCAGTGCTGAAATCTTTGATTTGTTTGAAACCTTACCTCAGCTGCCTTCTCCTTCTCCCTACAGTCCTCTTCTTCCATTGGTGAGTTTCTTCTGGAACCTACTTTTTTTTTTTTAGGCAATTGGGGTTAAGTGACTTGCCCAGGGTCACACAGCTAGTAAGTGTCAAGTGTTTGGTCTGAGGTCGGATTTGAACTCAGGCCCTCTTGACTTCAGGGTCCGTGCTCTATCCACTGCACCACTAGCTGCCTCTGGAACCTACATTTTAAGAAAGGGACCAGAGTAGGCATACTTCACTCTCTGGTCTTTGCTACCATGTCTACATGCAGTTACCTTATCTCCACCCTCTCAATTTGATTTTATGTGTTGTCTTTCCCCATTAGAATGTAAGTTCCCTGAGGGCAAAGACTTTTTTTTTATGGCTTACATTTCTATCCCCAGCACTTAGCACAGTACCTGGTGCTTAATAAATGCTTGTTGATCTTCCCAGTCACTGGAGTAAAGTCCCAAGAAGGTGGGAAAATGCCATGTGGATGCTATTGATGAAGTCACTTTATGAAGGTAACAAAAGTAACCTTAAGAATAGTGTGTGGATCCCTGTATACCTAAAATATCTATTTTTACTGTCTTTTCCATAGTATTGACTCCTTTAGGGCTTAGTATTAAAAGCCCCTATTAAAATGCAAATATTACATAGAATTGGTAAAACCTTGTCACCATTGACTTTTATAAACCATCATACAACACCACAGCATGAATTAATTAATCAAACGAAAGACAATAAGAGACAATCACTTGCTTTTCTGTCTCCTGACTCTGCCTTTTAATTGTCTGTCCTTCATGCCTAGATTATTCTCCTTTCTTACCTCCTCAAAATGGCTTCCCTAGCCTTCAAGTCTAAGCTCAAATCCCACATTTTGCAGTCTTTTCAAAGTCTCTCTCACCGCTAGTGCTTCTATTTACATTGTGTATATCTTGCACATACAACTTTTGCATCTTGTCTCTTCCATTAGAATGTAAACTCCTTGAGGGCAGAAATCATTTTTGTTTTTTGCTTTTCCCCCCAGCACTTAGCACATAACCTGGTGCTTATTAAGCACTTAATAAATGTTTGTTTACTGATACAATAATAGGACAGTTGAAAGAGCACTAGAATGGGAGTCCGGAGAGTGAATTCTGGTTCTGGTTTATGCCACTGATTAACTGTCCTTGCTCAAGCCAGCTCACCTCCTTAATCCACAGTTTTTTTCAGCTGTAAAACTAGATCTAGATAATTTCTAAGGACTGTCCTAATATTCTATGATTCTAAATTATCTAGCCTATTACCTCACAGGACCATGAAGGGATGAAGCATAAGGCAGATCTGTTTTGACAGAAGGAGAGAAAAAGAAAAGAGTCAGAGTATGAGCTGATGCTTAGGATGACAGACCTGTATGAGGGGTTGCAGTGAGGCTTATGGGCAGCCAGATGGAAACATGGGGCTACCAGGCTCCTAAAAGTGAAACAGGTCAACAAAGTAGAGGAGGAAGGCAGAGAATGCTAAATGGATTTCTATAAACAAAAACAACTGCTTGTTTTGCTATTTTACCAGGGGCCAACCCAGCTGGGAGAAATTATGCCTGATAAAGGTACCTTCCTTCTTTGAAGAAACATGCAGCAAATTAAAGAAAGGGGCGCTTTCCCATTCCTATTGAGATTTATGTGAAAAGTCAGCTGGGGAAGGGGCCACTCATCTCATCTAAGGCGACAGTACTCCTCCTGCTGGAGCCCATATGCTAATGAAATGAACTGTTTTGAGGTGAGGCTGTCACTGGAATCCTGCAGTCAGGATTTCCCCAAACCACACCTCCTCAGTACTTCAGTTTGGTAATCATTGTACAATTTACAAGGCAGTAAAATGATTTGACTCAGGGTGAGTGGAGATGGTTGTAGTAGGCACATTTGCTCCCAGAGGTTTTCTTCTCAGCATGTAGCTATTCCAGCAACAGCCAGCATTTTTCGTCATGCCCAAGCCTCCCTTTTGAAGCCCTAATATCCCCAAACAAATTCCCAGTCTTAAGCCATCAAGGCAGGTGAGATCATCAGCAGCCTATTGTGTCTGTTCCACTTCTAGCCTTAGGTCTATTCTACCGGGGATAGATGCAGTGCGCCTGCCCTCTGGGCTGGCTCTCATTCTGCCTTCTCCTCTTGCCTAGACCTTTTCCTCTCTGCCTCATCAAGCATTTTGTTAAAAAGAAAATTCAGCTCTGCCTCAGCTCACATGAGCAGCAGTACAGTGCTGGCAGGCAGGGTCGTCACTGGAGACCTGACAAAGAAATACAGAGGCAGAGAGGCTATTTCTGTCAGCATGTCAGTCACTGCTACAGCAAAGTCAGCTTCATGCCATTCAGGGAAACAGTTCAACATACCTGGCTTCAATACAAGGGAATAGTTTTATCCATATACAGTCAACTGCTCATGATCAGTTCTAATTCAGGGAAGTGGCAGCATAAATAAACTAAACCATACATGATCTAATTGTTTCTGTTTGGCTTAAGAATTCAGAGGCACCCAAGCAGAAAGGCACATTTAGGTAAGCAACAACACATTTTTAGATACAGCTAATTCCAAGCCCAATCCAGACTCCTTTCTGGATCAGTCCTAGAACTGACTATTCAGCACACCACTGGGTAGTAAAAGGAGGCTGCAGAAAATTATGAAGGCCATCACAGAATCTCAGAATGAACAGTTGTGACTTGACTATATAGTTTTATAATGTTTTAATGCAAACTCTTATTCACTATAAAGAGCCTAGAAACTCACCTTCAGGTGTCCAGGAAAATAAATGCCATTTTACATTTTTTCCTGTTTATTTAACACCTATAGCAAAAATACCTTTTTCATCATCTCTTTCAGCCTTCCTTAGAAGTAAGCAGCTGCATCAATGGATGGTACCTTTTCATTCAACAACTGCATCCATATGCTATATACATATACAGTACAGGCCACATACATACATGTATATACATACATAATAGAGTAGGTAAACATGTATACTGAATGCAATATTTGTCCAAATGGATAGGAGGCATCCATTGATGATACAAACACATACACACATTTTTAAAAAAATAGTTATGTAAATTTGAATACCCAGCACATTTACAAAAGGATTGGCTATTTATTAGGAAAGAGATAGTTGTGAAATTACCATCACTAATGTAATTTGGGCAATGGACATGGTTTTTGCCTTTCCAGTGAGGAAAAGAAAACCCTCCTAGAATGATAAAGGAACTGTGAGGCAATGGAAACCCACTAGTGGAGATAAAAGAGAAAAAAAGAAAGCTCCATCCCCCATCCTCAAGAAGGAGGATTTCTTCATCTGGCAGAGATACATAAATGGGGCTCAGTCAATATTCATTGGTATCATTAATATTATTAATACGTGTTATCATTGCCAGTGTTATTACAGTTATCTGAGTCTAGCATGGCAGGGGGCCGATACTTACCCCAGCAGATGAGCACGAGGGAAGCCAGAGAAAACAAGCTACTGAGAGCAGGCATCTTTCTCAGACTCTGGCCTGATCAAGCGTTTCTCTCCAACAAGGACTGTACCCCTTCTTTCGAGGAAACCTCCAAAGATGAACTCCCTTAGGAGAAAAGCTCAGACAGTCGGATTGCTGGGAACACTTTTTGCAGGTAGGTTTCAACACGTTGGTGCAGCTTCTGGCGTTTTTCAAAGGCAACAACCTCTTTGCCTCCCTCCTCACCCCCAAATCCTCCCGCCCCTTCGGGGATTGGTCCTTACTTCCAAGGAGTGGTTCAGCAAATCGGAAATGTTCTCTATGTCCGGCTAATAAGACCTAGTTCAGAACCGCGGACAGTACCCTCCTCACCTCCTCCTGAACTCCAATCTCGGTTCCCTTCCGTTATCTTCTTTTCTCTCTCGGTTTAGCCTCGGAGCTCAGCACATAGGCGGGAATGCTCCATGCTTTCCGATGACACCTCGCCACGATACAGCTTTCCGCTCTAACTGGGTTCGTCGGCACCCCGGGGGCTCCAGTTTAATCGGCCTTTCCCAAAGGTTCTCGCTGGAGAGCTTTGAAGCGACTGGCCCTCGAAGACACCAGGACTGCTCGTCGGAGCTGGAAATTTCTCTTCTGTCTATCCGTCTGGTTCTTTAATTCCCAGGAGGTTCTGAGAGGCTAGGGCTAGAGGAGGAAGCTCAGGGCTCTGCTAGGGATCTGCGAGAAGGGAGGACAGGTGGGCGGGGCCGGGAGAGAGGAAAGTATTCAAGCCGCCCTCGGTCTTCACTCCCTGATGGTGCTAGATGACCCCTTGTGACAGGTAGTCTGAGGAGGTGCCCAGCTCTGAGCTCTCCTAATCCTGGAGTGTTCACTCAGCCTTGACATGCGCAGCCTTGGCATGTTCCCCGCCCCACTGCCTCCCTGGGCCCACCCCCCTCTTTGCCCTCACTCCCCACACCCACAGAGATTGCCACTCCTACAGCGGAGTACACCAATGAAGCTCCCTCCTTCCCCTCCTCCAACCCAAGGCCAGGGGGCGGGGAACACCTTTCATCCAGACAATTTTCCCGCTAGGTCTCTTCCTCTTCTCCCCATCAGTACACCACACCCTCCTCACCGCACAGGCACACACACACACACACACACACACACACACACACACACACGAACACCACTTCAGACAAACCCACGTTCGCACTCATGCACACATTTGCTTTCTTTCCTAAAAGAAAAGAACAGAAAGCTTCTCGAGGCAAATGATGTCATCTTCAATGTACACAGCACATAGCTTCCCTTCCCCTCAACTACATCCCTCTTTTATTTTCATCTCTACTTGATTAATTGATTTTCATCACATTAAGATTTATTTAAGAACATCTCTGCTCTGGGAGCAGGGGGAGAGCACCTCTTCCTTTGTTCACTGATCCAAACCTCAGGCTCAAAGGTGGTGCTGGGTATGGGAGTGAAAGTTTTTATAAAAGAGTTCCATTCCCTTCTTCCTCTTCCCCTAATCCACAGACCTCTTATTTCGCCAACCTTTTCTCACTTTCCTTCAAAATGAGTGTGGTGCTATGCTACTTCTTTTCACTATGAGCTACTCCTAGTCTGAAGCAGCTGGTTTCTTACTCCTCTCTCTCTCTCTCTCTCTCTCTCTCTCTCTCTCTCTCTCTCTCTCTCTCTCTCTCTCTCTCTCTCTGTCCTTCCAAACCCAGTGAGAAAACCTGAATTTTTAAAGTTAGTTCCAAATCTTGGCTGACATAACAGAGCTAGAATTGTGGAATAAGAGCTGGAGACTGAGTAGGAGTTTCTCTCCCACCTTCATTCCTTCAACAGCCTTTCTAAAAGGAGAAGAGGCAGAAGCTTATCATTGATGTTCTCAAAAGGTTATGGAAGTTGTTGAAGTAGTCTCCAGAAATTGTCTCTACTAATGATCTATTAATAGGTTCTAGCACAATGGAATGTTCACAGGATCTAATCTTCCTTGGCTGTTAGCCATTGAGGCAAAGATGCTACATTCTCCATTGGATAGTCATAACATTACAGAATCATAAACTCTTAGAACTGGAAGGGACTCTACTGGCTTACCTACTGGCTCTAACCAATCCTGTGCAGAATACCTTCCTTCCTTCAGGTAGATGTTGAGCATTTTCAGTAACACTGCTTTGTGTCTTATTACACATATTACTAGCTGTGCCACCCTGGGTCAGTCACAATGCTTCTTGGCCTCAGTTTGCTCATCAGTAAAATGGGGATAATAAAAGCACTTACTGCGCAGGGTTGATGTGAGAATCAAATGAAATACTATGAAAAGTGTTTTGCAGACTTTAAATAATTAACTTTGTTGAAGTAACCTGTTCCATTTTCAAATAGTTCTGACTGGTACAAAATTTTCTTATATTGACTTCAAGTCTGCCTCCCTGTAACTTTTAACTACTGTCCATACATGGTCCTCTTCTGGAACAACACAGCATATCTACTTCCTCTTATCCATGAGAGTCCTTCCAATATTTGAAGATAGATGTTGTTCAGTTGTTTTTGTTGTGTCCAACTTGCAGTGACCCCATTTAGGGTTTTCTTGGCAAAGATACTGGGGTGTTTGCCATTTATTTCTATAGTTCATTTTACAGATGAGGAAACTGAGGCAGGCAGAGACTTGCCAAGGGTCACACAGCTAGTAAGTGTCTGAGGACACATTTGAACTCAGGAAGAGGAGTCTTCCTGACTCTGGGCTCAATCTCTATCCACTTCTGCCACCTAGGTGCCCTTGAAGATACATATTTCATCTTTAATAAATCTGCTGTCCTCCTGGCTAAAGATCCCAAGCTCTTGAAATTGCTCTTGTAAGAGAGTGTCCAGACCTGCCCCTGCCCCTAACCTCATGCCCACATTCTTGTCATTCTTCTCTGGCCTCATTCTGGTTTGTTAATATCCTTTCTAATGTGTGTCACCTAAAACTGGATGAAATATGCTGTATGTTGTCTGGCCAACACAGAATATAGTAAGACTGTTACTTCCCTTGTTCCAGACACTTTACTTGTATTGATGCAGCCTAAGATTACTCTAACATTTTTAGAAACCATACAATACTTTTGTATATTACTGAGCTTGTGCAAAACTGAATTCCTAGGTTGTTTTATTTTTGGCTCAGCAATGGGGTTAAGTGACTTACCCAGGGTCACACAGCAAATAATGTTGATTATTATTGCTATTGTTATTGCTCTTTTTACCTGGCATGACGTGACTTTTTTTTCTTTCTTTTTGGTGAGGCAATCCAGGTTAAATGACTTGCCTGAGGTCACACAGCTAGTGTTTGAGGCTAGATTTGAACTCATGTCCTCCTGACTCCAAGGATAGAACTCTATCCACTGTGCCACCTAGCTGCCCTCCTAGGTCTTTTTCTGAACTAACTAATATCCAGTAAGATCTTTTCTATATTCCATTTATGTAATTGACCTGAGGGGGATTTCATGTTTGTGCCTGTTAAATTAAAAATTTTTGGTTTTACCAACCATCTCATTTTATCTAGTTCTTTCTAAATCATTATTCTGTCACACAATATATCAATGTATAATGAATGGTTTTTCAAAAATTTCTTCTCTTGTCTTCTTTCCTTATGCTTCCACTGCCCCCTCATTTTTATTCAATGCTCCTTAATTGCACCTTAGGCCACTATTGCCCCCCCTCTCCCCGATCATTCCAGCACAGCCGGGGTTGGTATCATCCACTTTGGGAACCTCTGGTCGAGCTTTGCAGCCTCCTCACTGGTAAAGTGAGGATAATAATAGCACCTACATCACAGACTTGTTACGAGGATCAAATGAGAAAGCATGTAAAAGATTTTTAAAATCTTAAAGCACGATACAAATGCTATTTATTACTGTTTTCTCATGTCCTCCAAATACTAGGCTAGGAGGAGAAATTCACAAATTGCTCCCAATACCACTTGCAAACTCTTCCTTTGCCACTATCATTTAGCAACTCCTTCTCCTTTAAAGGTTTATGCCATCTGCCTAAATGTCTGGTCCAGATCCTTGTTGCTGTGATCTAGTGACCTCTAGGTCACTCCTCCTCCATTCTGAAATAGTAAAGTGCCTGGTTTATCATCTTTCCCTCTAAGTAATGCCCTTCTCCAATACTTGAAGACTTTAATGTACAAACCTGTCTCTTTAAGGACACTGACCTCCCAGTTCATTAACCTTCTCAAATTCTATGACCCAGAACTTACTTTGAACTTCCCTAGACACCAACAAGAATGATCATTCCATAATTCAATTCCACAAACATTTATTAAAGGGTCAAAGATGTGCCAAGAACCATAATGCATACTGGGGAATAAAAAAGGCAAACATGAAATAGAGTCTGCCCTCAAAGAGCTTATATTTTGTTTGATGAGAACTTTGTGAACGCATGCAAATAAATATTAAGTAAATATAATGTAAAACAAAGTAATTGTAATTGGGAGAGTGCTGACCAATAACTAGAAGGATGAGGAAAGTGCTTTGTAGGAGGTGGTACCTGAACTGGGCTTTGAAGAGAACTGGAGATTCAACAAGGTGGAGGTAAGGTCACTCAACTAAGCATTTGTTAAACACCTACTACGGCCAGATACTGTACTAAGCACTGGGAATACGAAGAAAGTTAGGAGTAAGTTCCAGAAAGAGAGAGCTGTTTGTGCAAAGGCAAAAAGGTGGGAAATGGAATGCCATGTTCAGTGAAAAACTAACAAAACAGTTTCATTAGAACAGAGGCTATGGGAAAGGATTAATATGAAATACGATTGCAAGGTAAATGGGAGCCAAATTAGGAAAGCATTTAATGCCAGGCTCTTTTCTATTTTTTCCTGGAGATAAGAGAAAGTCATTGAAGATTTTTGAGTAGTAGAGTGACATGGTTATATCTGTGTTTTGGGAATATCAATTTGGCAACTGTTTGGAGAATGAATTGAAGAGGGGAAGGAATGGAGGAAAGGAGACCAATTAGGAGGTTATTGAAACCTAGAAGGGGAAGGTTTCAAGAGATGCTGTAGAGGTAAGACTAACAAAACTTGGTAAACAGTCACTAATTTGATAGTTGGAAGGCACCTCAGCAACCATACATTCTAAGCCATTCCTGAAGAGAAACCCTGTGATAGAGTCTTTGCTTGAAAACCTCCAAGAAAGGGTATTTCTTTACCTCCATATCTTGAGGTAGCCCTTTCCCCTTTCAGACAGCTTTAATTATTAAGGAGGGGCTTTCCCCCCCACAAGCCGCATTTATTTATTTTGCAACTTTCACCCATTGTTCCTGCTCTCTGGGGCCAAATGGGACAAAGCCAATTCCTCTTCCACATGATAGCCACTCTTGAACATGGTGATCATGTTCCCCCAAGTCTTCTTTTCTACAGGCTAAACACTCCTTAGTTCCTTCAAATGATCCCCATATAGTGTGGACTCAAGTCTCTCAACTACCCTCCTTGCTTTCCCCTCCCCCACCACTCCTCCTAGATCTCTCTAACTCATCAATGTCTTTCTTATACTATGGTGCCTGAAATTGAATATAACACTCCAGATCATGGCAGAATGCAGATGTACTCACGACTCTCTTAAGGAGGCCCAAGAAGACAATGTTTTTTTCCCCCATAGCCATATGATACTATTGCTTCACATTAAGCTTCCAGCCCACTAAAACCCTCAGATCCTTTTCAAAATGCTGGTAATCATACCTCCCTCATCCCATATTTGTGAAGGTTTTTTTTTCATTTAATAATAGAATTCAGGATGAGTTCAAGAGTCACAGATGATATCAAAGTTGAAAACCTGAGTGACTGATAAAACAGGGAAGTTTGGAGGAGGGAAGGATTTGATACAAATATAAAGAGTTCCATTTTGGACATGTTGAGTTTGAGATCCCTGTGGAATATCCAGGT